GCAGCAGCACAGAAGTAACGCTGGCAATACCATACCATGCCACCCTTAGTTCTGCACGGCTGCCTTCAGAGCTGGGTGGCCAGAGTGGCAACTGCTGACTGAGGGCCCTGCTCTGCAGGTATCAATGCAGAAGTAAGGGTGACAATATCATACCATGCCATCCTTACCTCTGTGCTGCTGCTGGCGGCAGCTCTGCCTTCAGAGCTGGGCTCCCAGCCAACAGGCGCCGCTCTCCGGCCGCCCAGCTCTGAAGGCAGCACCACCATCAGCAGCAGTGAAAAAGTAAGGGTTGCAGTACCGTAACCCCCGCTACAATAACCTTGTGACCCCTGCAACTCCTTTTTGGGTCAGGACCCTTACAATTACAACATTGTGCTATCCTGTGACCTGTATGGTATTTGGTACCACACACAAGCTGTACATTGTTTACCATTTTGTATTTTTTAATAATTCTTTATGAACATTAATAAAATATTAATCACACACACAAATCGATCCTGGGAAACCTGGATAGGTGGCTACATATCCTGCTTGTTCCATGTAGGGATGGAAGGATTAATCCCCATCTTGTTGCTGTAATGGGGTGGGGGCATGACACCTGTTGTAGGGGAGATGAGTGAGGTCCCTGCATCTGTTTGGGGGGGAGGGGGGTCACATGCCCTGGTTGCTCTATAGCAGTGGTTTTCAAACCGTGGGTCGTGAACCAGAATTGGGTCGTGGAATGGAAGGCACTGGGTCGCGGCGGCTCTGGTCAGCACCACCGACTGGGCTGTTAAAAGTCCTGTCGGCGGTGCTGCAGAGCTTAGGCAGGCTAGTTCCTACCTGTTCCAACATCGCGCTGCGCCCTGGAATCGGCCAGCAGGTCCGGCTCGTAGGCAGGGGGTGGTGGGGCCCCACAGGGATCCTTGTGCAGTCCCCACCCCGAGCACCGGCTCTGCACTGGGAGTGTGTGTGTGTGTGGGGGGGCAATACCTGCGGGTGAGAACCACACGGAGCTGCTTGCGGTACCTCTACCTAGGAGCCGGACCTGCAGCTAGCTGCTTCCGGGGCGCAGCGCGGTCTGCGGTGCCAGGACAGGTGGGAAGCCTGTCTCTGCACCCTGGTTCTGCCGCTGACTGGGAGCTGCCAGAGGTAAGCCTGTGCTCCAATCCCCTGCCCTGAGTCCCCCCCCCCGAACCCAGAGCCCCTTCTGCACCCCAAACCCCTCATCCCTAGCCCCACCCCAGAGCCTGCACCCCCAGCCGGAGCCCTGACCTCTTCCTTCAACGCAAGCCCCTGCCCCAGCTCTGAGCCTCCCCAAACCCAAAGCTCCTTCCTGCACCCCAAACCCCTCATCCCCAGCCCCACTCCAGAGCCAACAGCCCCACCCCACAGCCCTCACCCCAGCCCTCTGCCCCAGCCCTGAGCCACTCCCACACCGCAAACCCCTCATCCCCAGCCCCACCCCAGAGCCTGCACCCCCAGCCAGAGCCCTGACCTCTTCCTGCACCACAACCCCCTGCCCCAGCTCTGAGCCTCCCCAAACCCAGAGCTCCTTCCTACACCCCAAACCCCTCATCCCCAGCCCCACCCCAGAGCCGGCAGCCCCACCCCACAGACCTCACCCCAACCCTCTGCCCCAGCCCTGAGCCGCTCCCACACCGCAAACCCCTCATCCCCAGCTCCGTTGAGTCACGGTCATCAACAATTTTCTTCAACTAGGTCACCAGAAAAAAAGTTTGAAAACCACTGATCTATAGGGTGGGGGACACACGCGTGGAGTGGGGAAGAGGCGCCCCCAGCGCCCGGCCGTGCGGCGGGGCTTTCTCTGCTGGGGGTGGGTCCTTAGGGGCAGTGACTGGGTCACAAAGGGGAGGGGAACCGGTCCGGGCACAGACAGTCGTCTGGAGCCTGGGGAAGGAGGCCCCGGCCTTGCCTCTCTCCCTGTCCCCGCCCCTCTCGGGTGGGGCGCGCCGGGGCTGGGCGAAGCGGAGACGGTGAGTTGCGTGTCCCCTGCTCGGGCTGGCTGGGCCGCCGCACACGCTACGCCCGGGAGAGGCCGCGCGCGGCCCCGGGGTAAGGGGACAGCTGGCCTCGGCCTGCCGCCCGCGCCTCGCTCCCTTCCAGCCATTTCCCGGGCTCCTGCGGATTCCGCAGAGCAGAGCAGCCGCCAGTGGTAGGCAGGGGGCTGCGCCAGCGAGGAGGAACTTACAGAGGGCCCCCAGACTTCGGGGGGAGAGGGAAGGACTGCAGAGAGCCCCCAGGCTACAGGGGAGGAGGAGCACGGGGGGCAGCAGAGAGCCCCCAGGCTACAGGGGAGAGGGGGCTGCAGAGAGCCCCCAGGCTACGCGGGTGGTGGGGTGTTGTGGGGAGTACGGGGGTAGCAGAGCGCTCCCAGGCTATAGGAGAGGGGTGGGCTCCAGAGAGCCCCCAGGCTTGTTTGGGGGACATTTCCCACTGTCTTCTACTCCCCAAACTTCAGAGAATGGGGAGCAGACTCCAAAGCTGGTTCTAGATTTTTGCCTCTATCTCTGTAATGATCTCTAAATACCAAACTATGGTGAGGTTCAAAATCAGGCTGCAAATCTAACCGTGTGCGACAATCCTAAATAAATAAATCTGTGATTTATAGAGTGGCTGATGGCTTGTGGGCATCCCAACAAAACTGAAATGGAGGTACTGGCATTGTAGCCGATTCAGACTGGGTCTACAACTTAGGTTGACCTTGGGCTGGTCTACACTGGGGTGGGGGGATCGATCTAAGATACGCAACTTCAGCTATGTGAATAGCGTAGCTGAAGTTGAAGTATCTTAGATCGATTTACCTGGGGTCCTCACGGCGCGGGATTGACGGCTGCGGCTCCCCCGTTGACTCCGCTACCCCCTCTCGCTCTCGTGGAGTTCCGGAGTAGACGGGGAGCGTGTTCGGGGATCGATTTATCATGTCTAGACGAGACGTGATAAATCGATCCCCGATAGATCGATTACTACCCGCCAATTCGGCGGGTAGTGAAGACATACCCTTAGTTACATTGAATGGGGCTATGGAAAATGTCACACCCTTTGTAACGTAGTTAGGTCAACCTGACCTCTGCTGTAAATGCAGCTAGGTCTATGGAAGAATTCTTCCATCCATCTAGCTACCAGGAGGTGGATTTAGGCCATGTCTACACCACCTCTTATGTCAGCAAAATTTATGTCACTCGGGTGTGGAACCCCCCCCCCCACAACAACATAAGTTTCGCCAGCATAAGTGGTAGTGTGCACAGTGCTATGTCGATGGGAGAGTTTCTCCCACTGATATAGCTACCGCCACTCATGGAGGTGGTTTTATTACGTTGACCTATCGGGATAGAGCAACTACATGAGCATAGGTGCTGGAACTAGGGCTGTGGGGGATGCTACAGCACCCCCTGGCTTGAAGTGGTTTCCATTATATACAGGATTTACTGTTACAGTGGTGTAGTCACAGTGCTGCTGCAAAGCTTGTAGTGTAAACCTACCCTAAGGCAGGTGTGTCTCAGTGATATGGCCTTTATTTCACTGTGAAAGCATTTCTGCAATTCTTCATGTTACTCTGCTAAATCATAGAAAAAAAAATTTATGTTGAGAGCACTTAGGCCCTCATACTGCAAGGTTACACTCATGTGTAGCCCATTGAGGTCAATGAAGTTCCATATGAATTTAAGGGGGTTAGCCCATGCCAATCAGATTGCAGGACCGGGGCCACAGGGCCTTCCATTTCTGTGCTGCAAATGTTACATGCTTCAGGATGAAAATAATCCGTAGTGATTAGGCAGTTATCAGTGAAAGCATGAAAATAAATATAATATTAACCCACTAAATACTAAAGCTAGAGTGGAAATTAAAATTACAACTCAGCTCCCTGCCATACAGTACATTTTATGTTCTCTTCTCATGCAATATGAATCTAACACGGAAACAAAAATGATGAATCTTGCCCAGGATGACAACATAAAAATGGGTTTCATGCACATCAAAGACTTGTGTGTCCTTCCAGAGAATGGCCTGCCTGTCCTGACCGTACCCCTCTAATGTTAACTTTAGCAATAATTGGACAATGGATAATCTCTTGGGTTGACCTATCTTGTATTTTATAAAGGGTATAAGTAAAACCTTGGAGTGAACTCAGTCAGAGGAGACCCTTTCCTTGCCCTAAGCCTCTATGCCCCAGACATAGCAGCCACATATGAAGGCACAAATCTTAGGTTTGGTCCTTGAAGCACTTGAAAACAGGAGAGAAAGCTGGTTTGAGATGTTGACAAGCTCCTATATTTGCAAGTCCAACAGAAAATGTAAATATACATTATTTTGAGGACTGACGTGTTTTTAGTATTTTTGAGTATCATCTTCCTCACCAGAGCACACAAGGAAATGGGGCTACTCACAGTATATAAAACTACATGCAGGCTTAACTCTGTGAGATCAAGGCCCAGGAGAGTTTCTTCAAGCTCGAGAACAATGAACTTTAAAGGGAATTAGAATTGTTACAAAAATTTAAAGATAGCTGGAAAGTGAAGTGTTGCTTTTGGTCTTTTATTTAAAAGAACAAAACAAACAAATCCTCTCCCTCACACAAGTTAATTTTATTTTGATCTAACTTCTTGTCTTTTCCCACTAGATAGCTCCGTGTCCTGGTTACAGACCCATACATGAACTACCTTGAAGATCCTGTTTGGTCAAGAGCTTGAGCGATAGTGCAGAAGATGTTAGGTCTGATACTGGGTTACTTTGCCAGGAGGAGTCAGGTGCTGGAGAGCAGGTTGTGGGTAGGTGGTGCAGAGTAGGGATGGTTGGGATCTGATCTTGGTCAGAGAGGAAAGGTGTTCAGTTGTGTACCAGGCACTGGGATACAGATGCTGAACAGAGAACTGAGGAGCAGCATGAGACCAAGACCAGAGGCAATTTACTTGAATGATAGGGGAGCAGGAGGAGCAGAGAGCAGCACTAGGGATTGCCAATAAGAGGAGACCGTAAGAGCAGCCACTAGTTCTTTTCTCTTCCAGGTAGCTTCGCTCTAGGGCCTAGAGGCATCAGGGGCTTGAGTTTCAGAATGGCGGAACATCCAAAGTGCCCTTTGATTACAACCAGAGGTCCTCAGCTTCTGTGAAAATTGGGCCCCAAGTGTCAGATCTTCTCATCCACTGCTGAACACTTTGGGGCTCCCAGTCACTGCTTCTTGCCCATACAGGAAGCCGTCCCCATGTAGTCTGGCCATCTAGTGCAAAAAGAGAAAACAAATTTAAGAGACAATAATTTAACACCTCACCCCTTCCCCCATAAAAGACCAACATTTTTATTTCTAAAGAACGTCTCAAATTAGCATAACTATGATTCAGAACACCTCTAGAATTGTAGTACACTGCAATAATGGAGTTTAATGTTCTTGAGCTGGAAGAAGCTGTGCATTTTCACGAGCAAGAACATAACATAGGAACATAAGAACGGCCACAGTGGGTCAGACCAAAGGTCCATCAAGCCCAGTATCCTGTCAAATAAAGGTTTATTCTGGGGCTTTATAAAATGTTTCATCCCCCACTCAGAGCAAATTAATTGACAAACTGTTTAAAGTGACAGAGCCCAGAACTGAACTCACCTTAAAAATAACATTTAAAAATCCCCCTTGATCCTGTAGAATGTATCAGTCTATCTTGTACAACACAGACCTAAGTGGAGGCAAACACATAGCAGGTCATGTTGCCTTTGCTTTTCTCCTGAGAGCAGAGTATGGACTTATAAAGGAGCCACCTGCTCTTCCCGCTGTAGAAGACTCTGTTTGGAAGGAGTTAATCTGGGTTACAAGAGGGAGAAAACAAATATTTCTGATGGGCACAAAACTGAACACACTTGCACAATCTAAATAATGGTCCCCTTTAAATCTGAACAAAGAAACCAAAACGTGGCACCAACAGAGGCTATCTTACAAGTCTAGTTTGGTAGTTATTGCATGCTGAGACTCTGGGCTTTCTCTGTTGATATTGTTCAACAAAATGTTGATAATTTTCCCTCACTTCATAAAACTTTCACAATTCGGTGTATTTTAATGGTGATAACAAAGGTCTCCCAATTTTTAATTCCAGATGTTCTTATTGATAGCAGTCAAACATCGGCAGGGGTCCAGGACTGCTGCTCTGTACTACAGCATAATGCATGCTACCTCTTGCTGTGCTCAGACTTCAGCTTGCTTGTCCATTATGGTGCTTATCATACTTTTCTTTTTTGGTGTACAACATTTTGACCCTGTTGTAATAATCACTTACATGCACGAGTAACTTCGCTCATGGGAAAACTTACTTGTGTGCATAAGGATTTGCAAGATTTCAGTCCTTGTTAATACTTTTGTTCTGGTCTCATCTTCTGCTTCTGTTCCTATTAACTCAGCAACAGCAGTGCAAAGCAGACAAGCTTCAGTGTGGAATAACTGCTGAAAATGTTTGATGCAGTGCTGCATGAGAACTAGAGAAAGGCTGTCTATGCCTAGCAGTTGGAAAAATAGTGCTATTGTGTAATCTTATAAAATCAATGCTATCCATGGTGTTTATACTAATATACACCTCTACCCTGATATAACGCGACCCGATATAACACGAATTCGGATATAATGCGGTAAAGCAGCGCTCCAGGGGGGGCAGGGCTGCGCGCTCCGGGGGATCAAAGCAAGTTCGATATAACGCGGTTTCACCTATAATGCGGTAAGATATTTTGGCTCCCGAAGACAGCGTTATATCGAAGTAGAGCTGTATTTATAAAATAAATTAAATATACATACAGGGGCCTTCAAAATCTGGGCTGATTTCACAGTTACTATAAATGATCATATCACATGGACTAAGTGCTATTCTGAAAAATATCTGTAAAAGTAGATACAAATCAGACTCAGCAGACCTGTTTCTTTTCTATATTCAGTCATATCTGCTGACTTTAGTGTCAAAAATAGGTTTTGTTGTGTTATTTCTGTTAGCCCAGCAGTTCACAGAGCTGATGAGGCTACTGGATACTATTTCTATTTGTTGATCATCGACAGAATTGTTTACTGAGTTCCAATCAGCTACACCTTTGCAAATTTTTGAAGGTAGTAAGACTGCGCAGATGTCAGTGAGGGTCTAATTTGGCCTGCAGGACTCTTATTACTGGTGATGGCTGCATGAGATAGAAAGAACCTATTTTGACTCTCAGGACTGTGATAAAGTTTGTAGTTCTGGCATATAGTGGTGATTGGGAATCAGTATACTTTTAACTGGACGCATTTGATATGGAGTCATTGAAACAATACATATGAAAGTTCAAGATGCTTTTAAAAAAAGAATATTTTTTGGGTATGAACCACACTTTAAGGACAAGGTACAATCATTCATCTTTGACAGAGGATCTGTCCTCAATGCTGAAGTTCTGTGCTCTTCTGGAATTAAATCAGACCCTTTCCGTTTTATTTGCATAGTTTCCATTGCATTTGTAGTCCACTAAATCTTTCTAGTTTAGGTACATATGGGCAGCCTACCTCTCTCTTTATTTTTTTTTAAGACATTATTTCTCAGATTCCCTTTAACATCTCTCTCCATCCCCCATTGGATATACAGTCTGTAGTTTTCCTGTTCTCTAATCATTGAGCTTTGCAGTACAAAGTTAATAATTATATTGCTGTGATGTTACAGTTGTGAAGTAGGTCAGTTAGGTTACATTGGAAGTTATTAGAGAAAAACAATCACTTTAACATTGTCATCCAATACATTTACTTAAATACACATTCTAAAAGTGGCTGTCCTGTAGTACCAGCTTTTATTCCTTCTTTTTTGTGGTCATGATTTACTGGGCTCATTTTTTCAGGTCAGTGAATGGTCTGTTACTCTCTACAAAATGTCTTCTGTAGGTATATTATTTTCTGCTCTGATAAATTTGATGTTTGCCAAACCAGTTTAAACTTGATAGTTACTTTTATATAAAAGTAACTAAATAATACATAGGTCCTGATTTCCACATTGACTAGTGATTTTTTTTTTTTAGGCGTCTCAATTTTGGCTTACCGAATTTGACACACCTTAAAGGGGATTGATTTTTTTCAAGGATGGATTCTTAGTACTTTAAAATCAGTCGCCTTAATAGCATTTCTCAGATGGGCACTACCAACTGTGATAGTAATTTTTTTTCTTTTTTGTTCGCTATGTGAACACTTGTTCATAAAAAATCCATCTGCAACCACTAACTTGTTTCAAATATGCTAATGAAGAACCATCAGATGATGGTAATTTTTAGTTGCTCCAGACCTGGCTGGATTTGAAGTAGTGGACTAGAGACAAGTTTCCATATCCAATTATCAATCCCCTAGCTGTATAGACTTTGGATTTAGGTTTTTGTTTTTGTTTTATTTTCATCCATCTCTTGGTGAAGAGACCATTATTTAATTCAGTTCTGTCAAATAGATTCAAACTTCCTTTTACATTATATTAAAAAATGTCTTGCAAACTCACTGTTTAAAAAGCTTCACCCCTATATTTAGGTATGATAAGGAAATAAGCTACTAGGGTGGGTGTGGTTAGGGTTGGGAGAAGAAGAAAAATCTCAGGCTCTAAAATTGCTTAACTTTGTGTAGGAAATGCACATTTCTGGTCTTGCATCTGTAAGTACTAGATAAAGGCTTACCTTTTTTTTAATCTTATAAATTATTGTGCAGGCATGTTTTTTGCTCAGCAAAGCCTCAGCTGCCTTGGCATTAGGACACAGCTACTGAAGACAGTTTATCCTGTAAGATTCTTCAGATTTTCGACCTCTGCAGTATGTATTCCATCAGTTTGTAGATTACACTATATGTATGTCATGCTGTATTTATTTTAGAGATGCACTCATTTTGTGATGCTGCCGGTAAGTATATATTGGATTGGATGTCTACTTGGTTTAGTTCACTGAACCGATGATAAAAATGAGATTTTTGCCAGGCAGTTTAAGATTCATCCATGTTCTGTGAGGAATTCCACAAAGCATTATGTTTTCTCCATTTTTTGTTGCCTTAATCCCAGACATTTAATATGAAAACTGCAATAAATTATTGTTCAGATCAATCAAATATTAAACCACACTAGCATGGTTATTGTTCTACATATCTGTTTCATTCTTTAAGGCAATATTAGTGGACACTGGGGAGGAAAGATGGTCCCGTGGTTAGGGCATTAACCTGGGACTCAAGAGATGGGTTCAGTTCCCTGCTTTACCATAGATTTCGTGTGTGACTTTGGGTAAGTCAGTCTCTCTGGCCCAGATCCATAAAGGGACTTAAGTGCTTAACTCACAGTTTTAGACCATGGCAATTCATTGCTGTCACCTAACTCTGTAGTTGTCTAAACTCACTTGGTCCCTAAATTTTTCGCTGTAGAAGTTCCCTAGGCACCTATGTTTCTGAGCATGTGCACTGCTGCCTCACTCTAGGTGTCTGGATGTCCATCTCCTGCTTAAGCCCTAGTACAATCCACAAACCAGGGGATGGTAGACATTTGCCGACCAGCCCCAGTCCAATATGCATGCTAAGAGTATGCCTACCAGATCGGGTCCCATTCAAAATCAAAGAGGTGATGGTGAGGCCTCCCTCGTGGTGGTTAGAGCACTCATTTGGGATGCAGGGATCCCAGGTTCAGGTCTCCCATTTGCCCGATGGGGAGAGAGGATATGAACTGGGATTTCCCACTTCTCAAGAGAGTTGTCTAATCACTAGGCTATGTGATATTGTAACATGGGTATCTTAGTCTTTCCAACGTGGAACACCTTCAATAAGAGAGACTGAGAGCGCTCAGTCATTTGAATATCGTCTCGCCTAGTGGTTAGTGCACTCTCCTTAGAGGTAGAAGACCCCTGTTCAGATCTTCTTTCCCCCTCATGTGGAGGGGGGAATTGAACCTAGGTCTCCCACCACAACCACCTTCTCCTCTGGCATTTCTTACAAGAGCTGCCTAGACACCTAAGCCACCTGACTTCAGGAGAGAGGTTCCCAGCTGTGGACTGCAAGCAGAGATAGGTACTTCCCTGCACTTAAGCGCCTAACTTTTTGATGGGGTGGGGCTTAGAACACATATCTTTCATAGGCATTGCCCATTGGCTAGCTTATGTGCTTCCCATCTAGCATGCTGGCATTTGTCGATTACATTCTTAGGTGCGTATCTCTCCCCATTGATTGTATAGGGACCCTAGATGCCTAACCCAGGCTTTGTGGATCCCACTGTTGTTCTAGTGATTTTTGTAGGTGCCTAAAGCTTAGGTGTTGCAATGCCTAAGTCCCTTTGTGGCTCTGGGCCTCCATTTCCCATCTATAAAATGGGGATAATAGTATTTCTCACAGGAGTGTTGCAGGTCCTCAGATACTATACCAATAGGAGCTAGCTATACAGGTACTTGAGAGAGAGCTACACTTGATTAAGTGTATTGTCTACAATATATTCTTGAAGTCTCAACTTAAGTTGCTTATGGAATCATGTGACACCATTTTATATCTAACTTTGTCAACAGAAGGTGCAGTTTTTCACCATGATGGAGGAGATGCTAGGGACAGTGTAATGGAACATAGTACTTACGTTACTGGATCAGTCCAGAATCCTGGTCTCAGACAGTGGCCATCACTAGATACTTCAGAAATAGGTGCAAGACCCCCATAGTGTACAGTTATAGAATAAATTCCCCTTGGGAGAAGTTTCTTAAAGTCCAAGCCAAGTTGGCTTATGCCCTAGAGCAGGATGTTTTATATGCATTGTGTTTTATATCTTATCCAATAATGGCGTAGGTGTTGTCATTGTCCGTACAGATCCTTTTTTTGAATCCTGTTAAGTTCTTGGCTTCAATAATAGTTCATGGCACTGAATTCCACAGGTTAATTATGCATTGTGTAAAAGTACTTCCTTTTATCCGTATTAAACTTTCACTTTCATTGGGTGTCTCCTTGTACTTCTATTATAAGAAAAGGTAAATAGCACCTTCTCTGTCATGTCCCCTCTTATTCATCTCCTTTCTAAAACAACCATTGCTAATAGGGTCTGGATGTGGTTGGAGGCCATGAATTTAGATCTTGAAGGGGGAATACTTTGTGTTGCTTAACACTGATCCACTTCAGATGATTAAGACTCTGCTAGCACTTCATCTTAAATAAATCACTTCCATTCCTTAGCTTGAAGGATGGTAGAACTAATCATGTAATTGAAAGAGTGGTGTATGATATAAAATAGGGAAATTCTCTATTCTCACTAGCATCTGGACACACTTCAGCAGTGTTTTTTCTTCTCCCTGGAAGAAAGCCCCATTCTCTTAATTATACCTCATTTTAATAATTTCAGTTAATTGCTTGGCCTTTTAAAAGTTGAAGTAAGCAGAGCTAGAATCCAAAACTGAGCTGAGGCCCTTGATAGCCAATACCGGGTCATCAATTCCATTTTATGACATCAGAATCAAAGCTAAGATCAAGGTACATAGGGAGAGAAAGCTCTAATAATTAACAATTGAACATACAATGTTCTGTGATATGAAGGCTGAATCTTTTAGTTCTCAGTAAGATTTCGGCCAGCAGAGAGAGATTTAGTACTGTTTAAACTTACTATAATTCAGTCATAACAATCCTGCTATTGATCAGCCTGTTGTGGTTAGCTAATTGAAGTGATCTTAAGAGTTGGTCAATACAATGAGCTACCCACTGGACCACACAGAATTCTGATTATTAACTAGAGAGATTCAGCGCTAGACTTCTCAGTTCTACATAGTAAAAAAAAAAAAGTAGTCTAGCATGTGAAAACAGGGAAGCTGCCAGAAGTGCTTATTTGAAAAGGACATGATAAAATATTCATATTATTGGGGGGTGTATTATAGCCAAACACTAATCTCAGTCTGCATTGTGCTCATCAGTGCAGAGGTTGAGTACTCTTTTAGACACCTGCATATGCCAGAGTAATCTGGTAAAGGACCATATCTAACCAAAACTCCCTTTTAACCACTATTTGGATATGTCCCTTGGCACATTCACTTGCCAAGTTCTCCAAAACGGATTTGATGTCTTGTTGGGATAAATGGGACCTGTAGTATGCTGAACTTCGTTGAAATTTGTGCCATGTGTCTGAGATTAGAATCTGGCCTGTGCAATAAAATTATAGTGAAAGAAGTGATTTGACATCATAGGCCCCTATCCTGCAAACACTTGCAACATGGGCTTAACTTTACTAGCACAAACAGTCCAATCAAAACCAGTGGGGGCTACTCACACCAATAATGTTAAGCATGTGTATGTTTGCAGGATTGGGGCCTGTTAGTATTAAATTAGGTGGAATAATTGGGCCAAAGGTGTTAATATAACCCAGATACTGTCCGACATTAAATAGTTTTAAACAAGGTTTGGGGTTTGGCATACAAAGACCTCAGCCTCCTTAGTACAGTACCATGGCAAACACACCATTAAAATCTTTCTAAGACTTTATTATAGATACAGAAAAAGAATGAAAAACAGTTAAAGCATTTGAAATGTAAAGTATTGAATAAGGCTTTTGTTTTACAAAATCCCTTGTTCCCTTCCCTTTACCTGGAGAGGTAGTTTGACAATCTCTTAGGTGGTATCAAAGATTGAAGTAACTGTCATTTTGGGTGGAAAGAGAAGAAGTTAGTTGAGATGGGCTGGAGCTGCTGTTGCTGCTATTAAAGTCAAATCCCATTTCGTAAGAGGAAAAAACAAGACACAAACAAAGGGGGAGAGAAAAGAATAGCAAAGAAAATGTAGCTTTTGTCTCTGAAGTTGACTTTCACTTGCAAACCTCACTGCTGGAGAAAACAGGCACAGCACACCATCTTATTAGCCATTCTGGGACTCAACAAGCTCATCCCAGCATTGGGGTGCTTCGGGCATTACTTTTAGCTGCCTCTCTGGTCACAGGCTCACAGCAGTGTTGCAAAATATGCAGTCTTGTCTGACTAAGCCAGGCTTATATTAGACAGAAGGAGAAAGGGGAGAGCAAGAAAAGAAATGTGGTACGTAAGGAAAAGAGCACAGCGGGGGTGGGGGGAGTGAAGTTTTATATCCCAGGTTGTGTTCAGGATTTAGCTGAAACTTCTGGAGGTTGTGATGTCATCTGGCTCCCTCTCTCTAGCCCAGCATGGTTAGGAGGGATTAGGATGAAGATGGTCATGGGTTCCAGGAGACAGTGGGGGTGGCAGTCATGATGGTGAAGCTTGCTTGACAGCCCTAAGTCGCTTTTTTGAAGGACCTTGAAAGGTAGCGATGGGTGGAATATCCCATCCCCTCAATATTTTTGTTCACCAGTTAGGCCTAGTTTCTGACACAAAAGTTTTGGTTCACTGATTTCTGATCCCACACTTTATGCAGGCATGATCTTAATGCAGTTATTGAGTTCTATCATTGAGTTACTGTCTGCATTATAAAGCGGGAGGCAGGGGGAATGGGTTTGCGCTTTTATTCTTTGTTAGACTGTATGAAGAAGGCCAGAAGAGTTTTTCCTGCTTTCTCTCTCTTTCGGTGTGTGTTGTTGTGTTTTTGTAAACTTTAAAGATACCACAAATATCGGGTCTGGTTATCCCTGGTTTTATAGGAAGGATCCTCAGAGGTCTATTATATGTGAATTTTCTCAGCCCCTAATTCAAGAGCGTGTGTGTTTATAACAAAAACGTTTTCTCCCCAGTGTTTGAGATAAATAAGTGTTAAAAAGTTTTGAGTAGTCTGAATAAAAATACTTTCAATGAATCTTAATGACTATTGCAAACTGCTCCAAGTGCAATGTCCATGTCTTTGACCTTGCCTTCTCTAACAAACAGCTATATATATATTATATAAAATATAATTAGGGCTGTCAAGCAATTAAAAAAAGTAATTGCGATTAATTGCACTGTTAAACAATAATAGAATACCATTTATTTAAATATTTTGGATGTTTTCCACGTTTTCAAATATATTGATTTAAATTCTAACACAGAATACAAAGTGTATGATACTAACTTTATTTTTATTTTTGATTACAAATATTTGCACTGTAAAAAACAAAATAAATAGTATTTTTCAATTCACCTTATACAAGTACTGTATTACAATCTATGTATCATGGAAGTTGAACTTACAAATGTAGAATTATGTACAAAAAATAACTGCATTCAAAAACAAAAATGTAAAACTTCAGAGCCTACAAGTCCACTCAGTCCTCCTTCTTGTTCAGCCAATCAAGTTTGTTTACATTTGCAGGAGATAATGCTGCCTGCTTTTTGTTCACAGTGTCTCCTGAAAGTGAGAACAGGTGTTCGCATGGCACTGTTGTAGCTGGTGTCACAAGATATTTACATGCCAGATTCGCTAAAGATTCATATGTCCCTTCATGCTTCAACCACCATTCCAGAGGACGTGAATCCATGCTGATGATGAGCTCTGTTCGATAATGATCCAAAGCAATGCGGATCGATGCATGTTCATTTTCATCCTTTGAGTCAAATGCCACCAGCGGAAGGTTGATTTTCTTTTTTGGAGGCTCGGGTTCTGTAGTTTCCGCATCGGAGTGTTGCTCTTTTAAGACTTCTGAAAGCATGCTCCACACCTCATCCCTCTCAGATTTTGGAAGGCACTTCAGATTCTTAAACCTTGGTTCGAGTGCTGTAGCTATCTTTAGAAATCTCACATTGGTACCTTCTTTGCATTTGGTCAAATCCGCAGTGAAAGTGTTCTTAAAACAAATAACGTGCTGGGTCATCATCCGAGACGGCTATAACATGAAATATATGGCAGAATGCGGGTAAAATAGAGCCAGGGACATAGTTTTCCCCCAAGGAGTTCAGTCACAAATTTAATTAACACATTATTTTTTTTAATGAGCATCATCAGCATGGAAGCATATCCTCTGGAATGGTGGCCGAAGCATGAAGGGGCATACAAATGTTTAGCATATCTGGTAGGTAGATACCTTGCAATGCCAGCTACAAAAGTCCCATGAGACTGTCTGTTCTCAATTTCTGGTGACATTGTAAATAAGAAGTGGGCAGCATTATCTCCTGTAAAATGTAAACTTGTTTGTCTTAATAATTGACTGAATGAGAAGTAGTACTGAGTGGACTAGTAGGCTCTAAAATATAGCATTGTTTTGTTTTTGCGTGCAATTATGAAACAAAAAAATCTACATTTGTAAGTTGCACTTTCACGATAAAGAGATTCACGTTATACAAGTACTGTGGTGCAATTGAAAAATACTGTTTCTTTTGTTTATCATTTTTACAGTGCAAATATTTGTAATAAAAATAATAATGTAAAGTAAGCACTGTACACTTTGTAGTCTGTGTTGTAATTGAAATCAATATATTTGAAAATGTAGAAAAACATCCAAAATATTTAATAAATTTCAATTGGTATCCTATTGTTTAATAGTGTGATTAATTGCGATTAATTTTTTTGAGTTAATCACGTGAGTTAACTGTGACTAATCGACAGCCCTTTTATAAATAAATAAAACAAACTGATAGAAAAAGATGCTTTGCTGCACATAGTTCTCTCCGGGGGCAAGAGGATGACCAAACACCAGAACAGATGTGCACTACTAAATGGTGCTCAAATACTCTGGAGATGAGCATAGTATGAGAACCTGTATAGAACAGAATGATGTTTCATTTCCATGGTATTTCTGATGTCATAATCCTACCTGTTCTGAACTCACCCATAGATTTTTCTAGGGAAAATTGTCTAGAAAATACAGATTTTCAAATCGGAAAGGGAGGAAAGTCACTCAGCCCTTCAGATCTTTATATATATATATATATATATATATTTTTTTTTTAAAAAAGGGTTCAAACCCTTTTTTCCCATCTGTAGGTCACTGGCAAATTCTGTTGCACTAAATTCTGCCGTGACCTCCATCCCTGCCCTTACTTCAGTGAGTTTGTGTAGGGGTAAGTCATAATGTAGGGTATTTTGTTTATTTTCATGTTAGACTGAACTCAAGCTATTATGATCCATTAAGGCTTTTATAATATCAGCAATGGTATATTATTGAACTTGTTCAGTTATGGTATCTTTGAAAGGGCATAGGAGAGGGTTTCTCATGCAATGTTACAATGTCTAACAATATAAGACTTTGTAATTCTTAACAAAACCCCTTTGTTTATATATTTTGATCTTGTAGACAATGGCCTTCAAGCACAAAAACACAAAACGAATCGAAGGGCTTGATGTCAATGTATGGTAAGTGACATATTAAAATATATGCAGAATTCTAAAAATCAACTAGTGTGTTATCTTTTCTAAACTGATTATTTATCCAGCACCACAGAGATATACAACTCTTGTTATCCCTGGTGCTGAATTGTATCCACACGCATACCTAGAAGATAGATTCAGTGGGCCAAATGTGGTGGTGGTGATGTGTATTAAGCCAATACAAGGTCATAAGCTGTGACTAAGTTAGAATTCTGAAGTGCAGAATGAACCAACATAAAACAAAAGTAATTCTCAGCAGGGGTGCTGAAACAATTTGTATATTGGGGGTGCTGAGAGCTATTGAACCAAATTGTAAACCCTGTATATGATGGAAACCCCTAGTTCCAGCACCTGTGATTCTTAGGTATGGTGGCAACACGGGGCTACAGATTTATAGATTAGTTTTGTTGAACAACCTAGCTTTGCTAATTTACACTGGTTTCATTTAACCATCTTGAACATGTCACTGTAGAAATTAACCTAATATATTTTACTATATTTTTATCCAGGGCTTAAATTGGTCTCAAAGTAGCATCAGGTGTGTCATTGCCAACTAGTGGGATTTCATTAGTTTGTAACATTAACTGAGGGGTTGGACAGATTGTTTAAATGCACTTAGTGCCCTCTCGCTAGTGACCATCCTGCCTCAGACTCCTCGCAGCAATTTCTGTTATTGATGGCTGTGTCTGTGACCCTGTAACCGTAATTTTTTATCTGGTTAACATTTGGATGGTGAGGGAAGGGCAGAAGGAAAGAGCACACATAAAAGGAGGAAAAATTCTGTAATTAACTGTGGCAGGCTTAATGGAACAACTAACAAACTGTATGAATCAGCCCATAGACTGGTATGACTAGGAATGTTTACAGAGCTCAGTGAAAGCAGCAAAGAGTCCTGTGGCACCTTATAGACTAACAGACGTATTGGAGCATGAGCTTTCGTGGGTGAATACCCACTTCGTTGGATGCATGTAGTGGTCCACTATGTTCTGAGTGGAGGGATTCACCCCAGCAGTATTGTTTCACTGCTGCCTTCCTTCAGGGAGTACGTTGGGGGTTGTCAGTTTTTGTTTGCAGCCAGGGTCCCATATGAGTCCTGGCAATACAGGCTGTTCAGGAGATATGCTCTGGAGACACCATCTCACCAGATGGTTCTGCTCACGCTTGGGGTTCCCAGTAGCTTTGCACTGCCCCATCCTCTCCTCTAGTGGTTTTTCCTTTGCTAAAGGCCAATTGCCTTCTGTGAATTTGGCCCACTGTGGATTCAGCCCATTGCTTTTACATTTAAAGTATGACAAATGAGCAGGATAATTTTCTTGGTAAAACTTTTAACACACATTTTTCCCTAGGGTTGAATTTACTAAGGTGGCTGCAGACCCCTCAATTGTTAATCTTGGTCAAGGCCTTCCGGATATATCCCCTCCTAGCTATGTTAAAGAAGAGCTAGCCAAGGCAGCGACAGTTGATAGGCTGAACCAGTACACACGTGGCTTTGTGAGTACATTGAACTTTGGGGAAAGTTTGTTACATGGGAAACTTGAAGACTTGGTTTTAAGTTAGGTGTATAACTTTGTTCCCTTTCATCTTGGCTCCTCTTCCTCCTCCCAGGCGTGGGTTTCTGTAATAGAGCTTACCAGCTGCGGATCAACATCCCCAGTGTAGGTTTATTTAAAGCAGCGTCTTTCACTCAGATCATTATCTTATAGTGCAGCATGTGTATCCTGCCAAACCTCTGGCCAGGTCACTTGTGGTCTCACCCCTTCCAGGGAATCCAATTCCAGTACAACAGTAGTCCAGTAGCTTCATGCCAGGTCTTCAGCCCAACTTCACATTTACAGGGGAGTCGCATCTTACGCGGGGGTTAGATTCTAAAGTCAGCGCGTAAGGCAAAAATAGCGTGTAATCAAAATTACCCGTGAAAATTCCTTAAATTGCCCATAAAGTACAGTATACTGTACATGGTTTTGTGTATACAACTCTGTACAGTAATATGTATAATGTATACAGTAATGTACAGCATATAATAAAGAGTACATATGCAAAATATAATTTTACAGTATTTTAATTACATGAGAGAGAGCGAGATGGAAGAATGAAAGAATAAAAAAGGAAAACAGTAAACCTAACCACTCACCATTCATCCTGGATATTCTTGCTAGTCTATGACGACGATAGTGGTGATATGATGACTATGACAATGGTGATGCGATGACGATGAATGATGAGACGATGAAGATGGGCGTCTGTATGATGAATGATGAGACGATGAAGATGGGCGCTGTACACACTCCGATGATTAGTCTTCCTCTTCCTCTTACAACACTATTGGGGGGTCGTCAGGGCTTGATGTCGATCCAGGAGACAGAGGTGATGGAGAGCGAGTCGTAGATGAAGTGGTTGGCTGTGGTTCAGCTTGAGAAGTTGATTGGGTAGGCTCATCTGCTGCTGGTTGTTTTTTCTTGAAAAACATGGTGATTGGCAACTGTCGCTGTTGTCTCTTGAGCTGCTCAAACATTTCTTTATACGGTCTCAAATCGTTCGTAATACTATGTGTGATTTTGAGGCTTTGTTCCATAGAGGGATCATATTCAGAAATTAAATCATTCAAGTGTTTTGCTGCTTGGAACACTTCAGCAAATTTATGAAGATTATAGCTTGCTGGCTCTTCCTGTTCGTTGTCCTCATCTTCGTCTTCTGTAGACGATTTTATCAGTTCCTCTAACTCTTCGTTAGTCAATGTTTCTCTATGGCCCTCAATTAATTCTTCAATTTCTTCCTCAAGGATGTCGACGAAGCCATCACCACCCACTTGCCTGGTCACCTGAACAATGCGTTTCACTTCTTTGTCAATGGTTGGGAAACCCTTAAAATCATTCACACGTTCTTTCCATAGGTTTCACCAACATGCATTGACTGTTTCAGGCTTGATTGCATCCATTGCCTGTTTAATATAAGTGATGCAATTGGCAATGTTGAAGGACTTCAAACACTCCATCACATTAAGATTGGGATCAGCATCCATAGCGCTACATATCCATGAGAACGTAAGCCTCGTGTACGTGGCCTTGAAACAGCGAATCACGCCTTTGTCGAGAGGTTGGAGGATGGAGGTGGTATTGGGGGGGAGAAAGACTACTTCAATGTTGTTATGCACAAACCGGAGTGCTTCAGGGTGGCCAGGAGCATTGTCTCCGATCAGCAACACTTTAAAGTCAAGTCCTTTCTCTTCGAGGTACCGCTTGACCTCTGGAATGAAACACTTGTGGAACCAATCCAGAAATAATGCTGCCGTCACCCAAGCCTTTTTATTTGATTGCCAGAACACAGGCAGGAGATTTTTGTTCTTGCCTTTTAGGGCACGGGGATTTGCAGCCCTGTATAGCAAGCCTGGCTTTATTAAATGCCCAGCCGCATTGCCACAAAACAACACAGTCACATGGTCTTTAGCTGCTTTGAAGCCAGGGGCTTGTCTTTCTGATTTCAAAGTGTAAGTGCGGTTGGGCATTTTTTTCCAGAAGAGCCCAATCTCGTCAGCATTAAAAACTTGTTCCGGAAGATAGCCCTTTTCTTCTATGATTTTCTTTAATTGTTCGGGATAGGCTTTTGTGGCCTCTTCATTGGCAGATGCAGCTTCACCAGTAGTCTGCATGTTTTTGAGGTTGAAGCGGTTCCTAAAACCGTTAAGCCAACCTTGGCTGGCTTTGAATTCCTTCTCGTCAGAAGGCTGTCCCTCTTTGGCGGGAGGTTTGAACAGCGCATAGAGGCTAAGAGCCTTTTCTCGCAGCGTGTTGCCATTGATAGGCACACGTTTACAGTTCATGTCTTCCAGCCATAAGTTTAATGCCTTTTCAGTCTTCACTAAAGTCTTATCACGCACCTGGCTCATCACCTTAGCAGTTATTGGAGCACTTGATGCCACGGCTTGACGAATTTCTCTCTCTCGAATCTTGATGGCACGGATGCTAGATTCGTTGCAGCCATATTTACGCGACACATTGGAGACCAACATACCGTCTCTCAATAAGTCCAACACAGCCAGTTTTTCCTCCAGCGTTGGAACAGATCGCTGTTTCTTTGGTTGAGCACCAGATGAAGTAGTTGGCTTGCGTTTAGGGGCCACATTGTACGAAAAATACGTATCTTTAAACACTAGAATCCCACTCAGTGCGGCGAGATGCTCACACTATGAGAGGCATGCAGGAACCGAGACTGACTGAGGGAACAGCAGATTCATGTCTCCCATCTCCTGCTCACTCTGGGGCATACGCTCATTGAGTGGAATGGTGGGCGGAATCGCCCGCACTACTGTATTTAAATTGTTATTTTTCTTGCCGCGCGTGTATAGTTGAATTCGCGTAAGTTAAATGTGCGTATGATGCAACTCCACTGTATTGGCCTTCCAGCCCTTGTCTCCAGGAATCTCCACACCACCATCCTCAGAGGGTCAGTAGGGGAAGTAGACCCACCCTTCCCTGTGGGTTCCAGTCCAGGGACCCTGCAATAAGTTGCTAAGGTATGTCTATTCAGACTTTCGCTTCTTCCGTAGGTTACTTCCTACCTCAGCCTGGCCTCAGATTCCAGTAGGAGAGTAAATTAGTTACAGGGAACAAAGCAAAGTCAAAGGTTGTATACGAGGCCTACGTGCCCCAGAGAGACTCTGGCATCTAGCGGTTTCTAGTTTTCTGCTGGGTCCAGCTGGCCTCTCTTCAAGGGGCTAGCACAAGAAATCCGCATCTTCTCCCAGTTAGCCACTACTAAGTTGGGCCGAGGCCCTAGAAAGTTGAGACTTCCTTGTCAACCTCCTCCTGGTGCTGGCCAAGATGGCCATCCATTACACCAGGAGGAGGAATCTGGACAGGTTCTGATGCTCTACGACTATGGGGGTCTATTTCCAGTCTCATCCAGTTGCCTCCAGGCAGAATTCCTCTGGGCAATACACAGACTCCTTAGATCCCTTTAAGGAGTAGTGAGTGCTGTCCAGGGTTCGCTGCTTGGTGTCCCCTTCTGGTTCCTGACTTTACAACCTTTCACTCTAAACTCTTTTTTTTTTTTCTCCCCCCTTTCTTTCTTTCTTTCTTCATTCATTGTCCCAAGAATTCAGTTGTGGCCTGGGTTCAGGGTCCCCTTTGGTCTAGTTCTGGCAGGCCTAGGCCTGCCCATCTCAGTACCCACGATAGATACTTAAGCCAGGCTTTTCCTCTTTTATCTCCTCCCTCCAGGCTTGACAGCTCTCACAGGTGTAATGTGTTGAGGTTTATTGAGCCCACAGGCTCTCATTAACCTCTTTCAGCCAGTGGGGGGCCTATATACCCCATCACAATACAGACAGATGGGGGAGTGCAAGGAAAGGAAACAATGTTACCTCTCCCTCTCTGTGTCCCTATAGGGGAGGGGATGAAATGGGGTCATATATTATCCTTCATAACTGTCCTAGCACATCAGAGGCTCCTGGAGCTACTTTTGTGGTAGGATGATGCTAAACTGGCATTTTAGAACGCAAAACCATCAGATGTAGAAAGAATTGCCTGGTAGGAATCAAGAAATTGAACCTCTCCTCCTTCCCCATCACCCACAAACCCCTTTAAAACCCACTAGTGATTTTTGGCTAAAACTCCTAGTAGTGTAGGGGCTCACCTCGTATTTTTCTTATTTTCAAACAAACAACCTCACCCCCACCCCTCGTTTTTATTTTTGTGTATGAAAGAAATCAAACACTTGCAGCACAAAATCTCCTCTAAATCATCCCAGTAATCTCCTAACTATTAATAATTCTGCCCTCAGTTATTTCTGTTTATTGAGAGGTAAGGCGTGTATGTGTGTGTAGATAGATTTTGTATTATCAGTTGTCTGTATTACCTATTACTTAATACATAGCACACACATCCAAGTGTGTTTTTTCTTTATTTTGAACAGGGCCATCCATTGCTGGTGAAAGCCTTGTCCCAGGTATATGAGAAGGTTTGTGGAAGGAAGATTGACCCTTACACAGACATCTTGGTGACAGTGGGAGGATATGGATCTCTGTTTAGTGCAATACAGGGGTTAATTGAAGAGGGAGATGAAGTAAGCTTTATCTGAAGTATTTTATTATAGCTACCAAAATAAAATTAATTATGTTGATGTTTTGTTTTTAATGTTTTAAAAAATATATAAATTGCAGTTTTATCTATTTGGCCTACGCCAGACAATTAAGAGCCCTGTCATGTAGATGAGGGGCTGGCAAACATTTTTAGAGATTAGGCCAGTGGTCCCCAACCTTTTTCGTCTGGCGGGTGCCAGACGACGAGCCACGGAGGACCCTGGTGGCGGACGAGCATCCGCCGAAATGCCGCCGATAAGCAGCAACGTCAATAGGCATCACCGCCGAAATGCCAGTACACGCGCGCACTTAGGCGCCCCGGCGGGCACCGTGTTGGGGACCCCGGACTAGGCCACATCTCAATAAGGAGACTGTCTCGTGAGTGCCTCCATCCCATTCACCAACATTTAGGCCTCCTCTCCTATTTATTGTACTTTTCGTAGCTTCTACATCATTGTTGCTGTTAACACCCACTGATTCCTATTTTACGAACTTTGTGGGCTGCTGTCTGCATCAAGAAGCTAAATATGGTGCAAGGTATCTGTTCTCAATGTTTGAATAGCCATTATATTTCAGATTTTGTTTCAGACTATTATATGGTACCAATGTGAAGGGGGGAAAAAAAGTATACGCATTTTAAAGTTAGGATCATACCCCAGTATTTGTGTTCGTATGTTAGCTCTGATGATTTATCCTTTCATTATTGTTTTGTTTCCCACTGCTACCAGATACTTGAAATGGCTTTTTGGGAGGCACTGTAACTGACAAGTGCTTTTTCTGGTGTGGTACATTGGCTTTTTTCCTTAAGACTACTTCTGTTTTGTGTTCTCCTCTGTTTTCTCTCTCTTCCCGGTTGCTTTGATCTTCTCTCCCATTTTGTCTCTGTCACTCTTTGAGTCTTTCGTATTACCCTAATCCTTTGCCATTGTTCACTACCCCTTTTGCCTCCTCTCTCCACATTTTAATACCTTTTGTGTCTCTGTCTGTAAGCACTTCTAACATTATATGCTAGAAGCAACTGTAGCATTTAACTTGAGAAGAACTGCCCACGTCTAACCTCTGAAGTACTACCAATAATTAGTAGTACCTCTAATTTTCAGATTGAGAACATTGCCATATGATGTCCTAAGACGATGAAAATTGTGCATTATCAAATCAAGGTTGAATGCCCAAGATGCACAGTAAATGCATATGGCCAAAGTAAATCTGAAGAAAGTAATATGATGTTACTACACATAGTAATTTCTCAATTCTAGGTCTTGCTGACTGTGTTTTAATTTCAGGTGATAATAATAGAGCCATTTTTTGACTGTTATGAGCCCATGGTGAAGATGGCAGGAGGAAAACCTGTTTTTATCCCATTGAGATATGTATGTTTTTTTTAAAAAATCATTATTATTAATCACCAAATTCAGAATTCTTTTGTGAGACTAATAACATTTGATAATCACATTATAGGAGATGGTCTCTGTCTAGTTTTTCTTAACACAACTATATAATAAATGAGATAAAATGCAACAATATAAGGCTCAAAGGTGATGCTATCCAAAGCATTATAGACATAGTGTTCTATAAGTGTTGTAAAGAGTAGGGCCCTGTTTCCCATTTAATTCAACTTCTGCATGCTGAAAGCTCCTAAAGTCCTTTTGTTTGACACCATCAGAAAAGTTTTTTGAAACACAAAATAATGGAAGGGTGATCACATGCCCATACAGTTTACATATTTTTTATTTTAAAGAGTTGGTTTCTGATCCTGTTCAGCAGCTTGTGAAGTGATGAGATATAGTCTCTATTCCAAAAACTGCCTACTAAATTAGGAATGGTCTTCCATTTACCACAAAAAGTGGAATGACTGTTTCCTTTTTAGTTATGGAGATGAGCAATTTCTCTGTGGTTGATTTTCAAATAGCAACACCTCAGATATTTGAAAGAAAACTACTAATTAGTTGTAATGAAAGGACTAGAAAACTTTTGTTCTTTGGAACAAAAATCAAGAGGGATGGGTATTGAAGCATCCTAGTATTATTCTTCCAGTCTATGGAAGGCATTATTCCTGCACTCTGTGCAGTTGAGCTCCCACAGTTTTGTGGGCAGCAGAGCTGGGGATAACTGTTCTACAGCATTAGTAACATCCTGAAGACTTGCAGGGATTTCCATGTATAAGAAATTTTGACCCTGTCATTGTGAACGTAGGTGAACTCCAGCAGTTCTTATGCCATGTCCCTCACTGTAATGTGTAACTGTATGAAGCTTAGAAGGGTCATGCTCCCTATCTGCTCCATGATTGGCTGAAGCTTTCTCCTCTTGACTACGTGTTGCAGCAGGGCACAGATAGTTTCCTAACTTTGGTCTTCCTGTGGGCTTTGCATAGAGAAAGGCATGGTCTGGGCTAGAATGTGTGTTGCACTTAAGTAGTACAGACATTTATTTCTATTCTAGAAAACTGTTGTTGGGAACTCTGCATCTAGTGCTGATTGGGTCTTAGATCCCACTGAACTTGCAAGTACATTTAATTCCAGAACAAAAGCTATCATACTGAATACTCCTCACAACCCTATAGGCAAGGTAAGACTTCCATTCTAGTTGAACATAGTAGCTGTAATTTCAGAGTGTATCTTAAATACACTGATTAATGCATTGGCCCTTCCTTTTTGCATTCTAGGTATTTACCAAAGAAGAACTCCAGGTAATAGCTGATCTCTGTATTAAACATGACACCCTGTGCTTCAGTGATGAGGTATATGAATGGCTGGTGTACAAAGGAAATAAACACATTAAAATAGGTACTGATTTTTGTATAGCCACGCAGACGGTTGTGGAAGGATGTCATAAATGTGCATCTCAAAGTTAACTGATGCTGTCAAGTAGTTCAAACCATAATTATGGTTTAGTTTAAAATGATGAAACTCTGATGAGGAACGTCCTTTATTTTCTAAACCTTTATTTAAAAGATTAAAGGTGGAATTTTCAAAAGCATCTAAGTGACTGAGGCATGCAAGTCCCATAGAAAGTGGATGGGCCTTGTGCTCCTAAACCACTTGGGTCCTATTGAAAATCCCACCCTAATTCAATTCTTTGTTGCCAAGAATAAGATAATCACTGTTTAAGTATCTACATCTCAGTGGTGTGCTTTGTTGCAGAGCTAGCTGAGGGAAGGGAACAGGAGATCACTAACAAACCTCTTTCCTGGAGCTCTCCTGATATAATCAGTGAGGCTAGTGCATAATAAGGAAACCACATTATTGCTTGCCCCATAATAAACAGGAAAAAAAAAACCATTGGCAAAAGGTAAAGAACAAAAGTGTAGGAAAGATTATTTCCTACACCCTCCTCCCAAGCAGAGGGTATTAAAAATAATGGGCATTTCAAACAGTGAAATAACTCTGGGGGCTATGTGGAGACGTGCTTCAGTAGTTCTCTCAGGCAGAGATGCTATGTGGACAAACTAAACCATTGCAAGGACAAATCAGACAACTAAACATTTAATGCTATCATGGACCCTGCAATATTTTCCTTTCGTAGGGTCTGATCCATCTCTAACTGAAGTCAATGAAAACCGTTCCACTGACTTCACTAGGAGCTGGATCTTAGTATAGGCACATCCAATATATGCTACCAATAACCCTAATGCAAATTCTGCAAACACTTTTACATGTGCTTAGTATTACGTTTATGAGTAGTCCTACTGAAGTCTATGGGATTGCACAAGTGCTGAAGTTAATCAAATGTGTAAATGTTTGCAGGTTGTGGCCTTAGTTTGAATCCTAGTTAGTGGATTGTGAGAAGTCTGAAATCCCTTGCCTTGCTAATTAGTACTAAGGATTATCTTCTCAGCTATACACAGGTTTTGGTTCTGGAAGTAGCTATTTGCATGAACACCCAGCTGAAAGGTAGAGTTATACAGTCCCATGTTATCACAAGGAAGGTGAATTTTAATGATGCCCAACAAAGTAGCCCTGTTGAAATTAAAATGTTAACCCAAAAGGCATAAAATTAACTTTCCTGACAGTCGGAAGAACTGTGTTCTGTTCCTGGCTCTGATGCTGATATAATGTGTGGCCTTGAGCAAACCATTTCATGTTTCCATGCCTCGGTTTCCCCATCTTTTAAAGTGGCAATCATTATATCCTTCTTTATAAAGTGCTTTGAGATTGACAGATGAAAACCACTAATTTTTATTAATGATAAAATTGATATAATTAACTAGGAATACGCAAATATTGTTTTTTTTGTCTACAATGACTTTGGAATGCTGGTAATTAAGATGAGTTTAGTGTAACTGAATTAATGTATTGTTTTCTGCTTGCTGAAAATGCAGTCCTTTTGCACGCTCAGCTCCCACTGATACCCGTGGGATGTGCTGGCCACAAGTTTGTTTTTTGCTTTCTAATGCTATTTAAAAAAAATGGTGGCCTAATGATAATATCATGCAAGAGGCCTGTTGCCCACTGGGACATGGAGGAAATAAAACTCTTAGTTTTATTAGTATATTATTAGTATAACTTTGTTTTAACATTTTGAAGGGAAAATACCAGATGAATAAAAAGCATTTTTATTGCACAACATAAAATTTACAATTCCAGTGTGATAATGACTCAAGTTAAAGCTTAGAGTGTTAGTCAACTGGGTTTAGCTACATGCTCTAACAGATCCCATCAAATGATCTTACAATTTATTGTTAAAAACCTACCAACCATAAAACCTTCAGAGTAAAAATGTAACTGATAAAGTCATTTTTACTAAAAGAAGCAAGACTTTTTTTTTTTAAACCTCAGCTTCTTAGTTTTTATAACTGTACATTAAAAATAATACAAGAAAAAAGATTCACTACTTAAAAGCTGCAAGGTTTTTATATTAAGCTTTACATACTCAATCAAATGCAGTGACACTTCTTACATGAAAGATGCAAAATGGATATTACAGAGTCTGGTGGTGGTTCTTATTATATAATCTAATAGGGTAGCTAGTCATATATCATAAAATTAGCATAGTCTTTATTCTGTCGCCCAGGCAGTCTTCTCTAATATAGAACACTTCATCATGTCTCTAACCCTTATCTGACTTTTGTAAAAGTGCAAATCTCTTATGAGTAACCATTAGAGGTATAGTGGCAGATTTAGAGTTCTCATATCATAACTGAGGATTCTGTTGGCATTTCAACAGAGTGCCAGCCCAGGTAACATGCTTATACGTGTTACCTTACAGATAATTCCCAGCACTTGATTGGTGTTAAAATGATATTAAACCATACTGAGTTTGAATATAATGATACTGCCATACGGCATGGAAAAAATGCTCCCCATTCCATTTAATCCTGCGTATTAATTTATTGCTTGTGAAAGTGATAGACTGCCCTTTTCCCCTCCACTTTCTCCCTGCTATTATTGTTTGGAATGCTCCTGCTATCTGTCCCCAAGCTTGAATTCCTGGGAACAGGTTGCAAAACAGTCTCAGGTCTACTTTTAAAAGTTAGGTCAACGAAGCTATGGCGCTCACGGGCTGAGCTGCAGCTTCCATTGACCTAGCTATCACCACTTGGAAAGTTGGATTATCTACTGTGAAGGAAAAACCCCTTCTGTCACTGTAGGAAGTGTCTCGACTAAGTGGCGTGCTTGTAGCTGTAGCACCTATAGTGTAGACATGGCCTAAATAGAGGGCACCTGGCTTTGAAATTCACTCGTCCTTGCAATATGCTAGAGACAGTTTGTCAGCCTTTAGGACATGGTGCTTAAATACTACAGCCTACATAGCTGAATCGAAGATGCATCTGTTCAAACTGACTTTTTGTTTTCAAGATTACTGGTCAGTTGGAGTGGGTAAGTGCTGGTTAGGGGGAAGATCAGGGCCAGCGCTTCCACTAGGTGACCCTAGGCGGTCGCCTAGGGCGGCAGGATTTGGGGGGCGGCAATTCGGCGGCGGGGGTCCTTCCGTTCCGCGTCTTCGGAGTGCTTCAGCGGCGGGTCCTTCACTCGCTCCGGGACCTGCCGCCGAAGCGCCCCGAAAACACAGAGCGGAAGGACCCCCGCCGTCGAATGCTCTGAGGACGAGCGCTGCTGCCTAGGGCGGCAAAAACCCTGGCGCCGCTCCTGGGGAAGATGGGTCTCTCGTTTGCTAATTGTTTTGTGCTTTACATTTGTAAATGTGCCCCAAAATGACAGTGATGGGCACTGGCTTGAACCAGTTCTAGTGCAGGGAGGTACTGTGAAAACTTGCCTATGGAATTTTGCCATTACGTCTATGACAGCCTTGCTTATGGGCCTCCCTAGAGAAAACTCCTGACAGTTGTGCTGGATTTGGCAATAGCTCTTTAGTATGACAATATGGTAGAATGGGATGCAACGGGACCACTAAAATCACTACTCCTTGTGCCCTCCTCTAACCTTATATGTAACAACTTTGGGAAACACATCTGGGTTTATCCTATGAAGTGATCCATGGATTGTGAGAGTCAGAAAGGACATTCCATTGAAGCCATCTGTGAAAAAGCCTGCAGCTACAAGAAAAATCTTTTGCTCTACCAGAATTAAAATGGCCTTAATTTGGTTTAGCATAATTCACTATATATTATACCAACTGAAGGTCACTTTAATGCTGAATGGAGTTTCCACACAAAAATTTAATGTGGTTTGACAAATTCACTTTAAATTCTCAACTTTAGTTAATTTGTATTAACTTTCCTGAGTGTCCCCACCTACCATGTGTTCGATAGCATGAATTAAGAACACACCTTTTTTCCTAGTGAAGAGGCACCCTGAAAGGTGTGATCGCTCATTCATCTCAATACACTATTAATTCTGAGGCCTGGCAATGACAGTGTAATTGTCAAGTATCAGGGGGTAGCCGTGTTAGTCTGTATCCACAAAAACAACAAGGAATCTGGTGGCACCTTAAAGACTAACAGATTTATTTGGGCATAAGCTTTTGTGGGTAAAAAACCTCATTTCTTCAGATGCATGGAGTGAAAATTACAGATGCAGGCATTATATAATGACCCATGAAGAGAAGAGAGTACCTCACAAGTGGAGAACCAGTGTTGACAGGGCCAATTCGATCTGGATGGATGTAGTCCACTCCCAAAAATAGACGAGGAGGTGTCAATTCCAGGAGAGGCATAGCTGCTTTTGTAATGAGCCAGCCACTCCCAGTCCCTATTCAAGCCCAAATTAATGATGTTAAATTTGCAAATGGATTTTAGTTCTGCAGTTTCTCTTTGAAGTCTGTTTCTGAAGTTTTTTATTGGGAGTGGACTACATCCACCCTGATCGAATTGGCCCTGTCAACACTGGTTCTCCACTTGTGAGGTAACTCCCTTCTCTTCATGGGTCATTATATAGTGTAAATGTCAACATTCCGTACTTCTGCACTGGAATAAAAGCCCTGTGGCACAGTCATGGCTGGCTCGAGTCAGCTGATTCAGGCTTATGGGGCTCAGGCTGCAGGACTAAAAATTGCTGTGTTAGGGCTTGGGCTGGTGCCCGAATGTCTACACAGCAATTTTTCAGCCCTGGATCCTGAGCGTGAGTCAGCTGACCTGGGCCAGCTGTGAGTTTTTTTATCCCATTGTAGACATATCCACTGTTAACTAATTCACTGCTGATCATTGTAACAGACTTGTCCAGCTAACAATCCCCGTGTAGCTGGATACTACAGAAATCCGAGATGAAAGAGCTATCAAGGTCTGTGGCATAAACCAACAGCCCAAGAACCATCCAAAAGTGTTGAGAAAAGAGCAAATAACTCCTGGATTTAGCCACACTGCAGCTGGGAGGTGTAATTCCGGTAAATCTGCCAGCTCTGATCAAGTTAGTGCGCTAAAAATAGCATGGGTGGCAGCTCAAGCTAGCTGCACAAGCACAATCATGTCTAAGATCCTAGGTATGTACTCGGGTGGCGGCTCTGGCTAGCTGCCTGCGCTGCTGCAGCCACATTGCTATTTTTAGCACACCAGCTTGATCAGAGCTAGTGCCTGTATGTCTACCTGAGTTGGGAATCACACCTCCCACCTGCAGAGTAGACCTATTGTATATGCTAGATAGTCGGAACAGATCTGGGAGTTTCAACCAAAAGCAGATAGCCAGGGATGCTTTTGGAAGTCTCATTCTGTAGCTCAGGTCAGCTCTACAATGCAGACTTCTGCCAGCATGGTTATGTCTGTCAGGGATCACACCTCTGCACACTCTTGACAGACATAACTATGCTGGCAGGTCAGGAGTGTGAAGAGGTTTGATCCCTGACAGATAAAGCTGTGCAGGCAGAAACCCCTGGTCTAGATGCAGACATGCCAGCAAACCTGTTTTCATTCCTGGGATGTGGTTTTGCTATATTGGTACGAAGCGCAGCTTTGCCAGTATCTCTGCATCCACACTAGGGCACTTTGCTGGTATAGTATAGCACTAGTCCTATACCTATAAAGTGCTCCTAATGTAGACATAACCTAACTCTGCAAAACTCAGTGAGGAATCCACTTTCTGCAAGTCTGAAGGCACATTTTGACTCTCAGCAGCTGATGAAATCTATTTAAGTACGTTAATATTAAATTTTGGTGGGAAATAGCACCAATACCTGTAGTCATAAGGGTCTGACATTGATTTTTTTTTTTTAAATTAAAGCTTAAATTCTACAGAAATTGAGGTGTTGAGAAACACTTTGGCTGGCTGCAGGAAGGCTGAGACTGTGCATTACAGGGATACAGTTGTGAGTCTCAGTAGTAGATGTAACAGTTCAACTATTCCCGTGTATTTTATAAACGGTAGCGAAGATTGGCAGATACTATGGATTTTGAGATACACTGTAATCAATCCCATGATGATTATTTGGATTTTCTGTTATCCGGTGACAGCTGAGAAACTATTTCATTGCCCTTTCTTTCACCCCCTCTCAGTTCGAAACTTATTCTCAAGAGATAGATGTTTTTCGAGTTGCTGACGTAGAATTAGTAGATGTCTGGGGGTGTGGATGGCTCAGTCACCACAACTGGCACTGGTTAATATTCCTAATGGCAGCACCAGCAGAGTGGACAAGGATTGAATGGCCATAGAGGAGGTAGATTTCTAGGGGTGATCCCACCAATTCAGATTAAAGCACAATGAGAGGGAAATGTAGCATAGCTTTCCAGTGGTCATGCAGCATTTGTTCTGTGGTTAGATGAAGGCCTTGCTCTCCAGGGCTGACAGTCTGGTTCTTTTTCACAAGAACAAAATTCATACTAAAACGAAAGATGTTTTCACTCTGTGTGTCTTGCCTCATTCCTTAACTTTCTTCTTTTGTTGATCCTTGCCTAATTTCTATTCCAAAATACATTTGTCCATTTTTCATTTAATTTAAGAATTTTTCTCCTAGCTTTGTTTGTTACAATATTATATTTAAAATACTGCTGCTCTGAGCTAGGAACAGTACAGGTTTTGTGACTGTATGGAACATGAATGTGCACTGGCAACCAAGTCACTTTATTTTATGTACAGCTACACTGCCAGGCATGTGGGAGAGAACAATAACTATAGGAAGTGCTGGAAAGACATACAGTGTCACTGGCTGGAAGGTAAGAATAACAAGAGTAAGAGATCTGTTACATAAATAATATGTATTTATCTGACCTGAACCCTGTCTATTTTTGCATTCTGTCATTTGAAAGCTTACTGTGCATCCAACTCACAAAAAATTACAGACAATATTCACTTGGAGATGCTACCTACCTTTAATATGCACTCTCTAACAATGCTCTTATTAATTGTAAAAATAAACGCTTGTGAAAGTGAAACAGAAGGGTGAATATTAAAAAATTAAGTACAAAACACTATTTGCTTTGCAGAATGAGCCAAGACTGCCGAAGGATAAACACAGAGTATTGTTTAAAACCTGTTTCCAGTTTTGTGAAGCGGGTGTAAATGTTGGCATTAAAACATCTAAGGATCTTATGGTTTCCACAGATCAGTCTAGAACACCATTGCTTGTGTGCACAATTATTTTAGCCTACAAAATTGCACCCGTAATACATTGGAAATGCAACAATTCAGGCTAGCTTGAGGTCCCATTATTTGTGACCAATAATATTTTATTTCGCTCTGGTAAAGTAATGACAATGCTTTATACTGATTACTAAAACAAATACAAAAATATTAAAACATCTAGCAGCAGATTTTCAACTTCAGTTGCAACAAGTATGTTAGCAAAAATATCCATAATCAGAGCAGCACCTTTCTCTTCTTTCTTATTTATCAGCTGTATCCAGTCTACACCATGGCACACTAGTTTCTGTGTGGCATTTGGCCAAGTGTATATTTGGTTGTGTATCACACACAAAACATTTGTTTTTGCCTTTTATGGCTCCTTTATAAAGGTGGCTTGAAACTTTAATTCCCCCACTTCCCTCTACCAATGATTTGGGGGAAGGGGAGGAACAGTTCAAATCATGGCCCCATATAACATCAGTAGTGAAGTCTTCCAAAAAGAGAGTGAAGCAATTAACTGATACTTCTAACAGTTTAAAAAACAACAACAACAAAAACCCAAATTGGCAGGGTAGGAAAAGAATAGGAAATTTGACGGCATGGTTACACACTACAAAGGGACAGCAAAAGAAAATACCACTTTGTGAGTAAGAGACAATCACTCCGCTGCCATTTAGGGACTTGTATACCATTGTGTAGTTTTTGATATATTTTGGGGCAATTCCATGCATCTAAAACACCTGTGTGACATGAAGAAGGTGCCTAGGAAACAAAAGATGGAAGTGTTTATATAAAAAAAGCCGGAATAACTTTAATTATTACAGTGTAAACACTCAGTCTGTTTTCTGCCCGATGGTATGTGATGCATTAGGTTTGTGCTACACAACAGCAGAGTTCAAGGACATTTTAATTAGTATATATGAGTCTTATCTCCAGCATTTCTAAACCTGCCATTTAGCAAAACTTGTACAGTTTCTATGTCAACAAAAGTGCACTATTGCTTCTTCCCACTGTGAAGACCTCGAATTCTTTCAACTTTTAATTCTTTATTATGAGTTCTAATTGCTAACTTGCCTTATGTTTAAGATGTGTCTGTGTTTTCTCCTCTCCCTTAGCTTGGATGGTCCATTGGTCCACAGCATTTGATAAAACATTTGCAAGTTGTTCAGCAGAATACGCTGTATACATGCCCATCTCCGTTACAGGTAGATACAGATGGGAGAGGAGAGAGGTTCTGTTTGTACTGTGTCTTCCATAAAGGAGCTGTGGCCTCTAGGCACTACTGCAATACAATTAATACAAATTAGTATGAATTTTGAGATGTCTAAATATTTTTATGTAGATTCTTGGGGATAAGCGTGCTGGTAGAGAAGGCAAATTTGAGAGTCACTAATGAGGCAATTTAAAAAATTCTTGCAAATTCTCACTGCATTAATCTGCAAAGGTGAGCATTGTTGCACAAAGCCTGGCAGCCTCACTCCTTTCTCAGCAAAAATGTAATTACAAGATGCTGCAGTGACCACTCATATTGCTGTGAATTACTTTTACCAAACAGTCTACAGTTTATTTACTAGTATTCTATCATGTATTAGCATCAATAATTAAAACTAAACTATACTTCAAATTACACTGTAAACTCTTGAGGCAAGGACTGTAACTTCCTCTGTCTGGAGCAATGCCTAGCAGAATGGGGCCCTGATCCTGATAGGGACTTTTAGGTGTTACAATACTAGAAAGAGTAAATAATAACTTGTCAAAATAAATGCACAAGTTACATTTTGTGATGCAGTGGTTTGGGGTATTTGTGGACTCAGTAAGACCCTGGCCCTGCAAAGGGATCTATGTGAGAAGGCCCATACACCATGCAAAGTCCCAGTGACCTCTCCCAGTAACTTCAGTAGGACTCTGCATGGGTGCAAAGGTCCACCTGCAAGAAATCTTTGTATGCTGATTATGTTTGCAGGAGGCGTTGGCACAAGCACTTTGGATTGACTTTAAACGCATGGATGACCCAGACTGCTACTTTTACTCGCTGTCTCGAGAGTTGGAAGGCAAGCGTAATCGGATGGCTCAGCTACTCCAAGAAGTTGGATTGAAACCTGTCATTCCAGATGGAGGATACTTCATGATTGTTGATGTTTCTGCACTCAGTTAGTGAAGGTTTATTATGGAGGGAGTGGGAGCATATGCTATAGTTAAGATTAAAGTGCAACTTCCATTTTAACGGCCCCTTTTTCTCAGTTTCTCATAACACTTTCAAGCAAACTCAGTTTTGGGCTAAAATGTTCTGTGTGTGAACTTGGCCCAGAGGTGATTATTATTGTAAGTTTTGGTAAAATCCGTTCATCCATTTTTGAGTGGTGTGATTTCTAATTACTGCCTTTGTATTACTTTTTCATTTAATCAAGTCTGATGGCTGTTGCAGGGAAGATGTGTAATTAGGGTTAGGAGAGAAGGTGGTTAACTGGATTTCTATTTTAGGAAGGTATATGATTTGCAAAAGTTTGAGAATTACTGATCTGTGCCTTAAAATCTTGGGCCCACACCCACAGACTTTCCTGTTCAGTTTTTTCCCTTAATCTAAAGTCAAACACTGGAGGCACTGTAAAGCACTTTAGTTCAATCAATATTTAAAAGGACTTTCAAATTTCACCAGAGTTTACCAATCCTTCCGAAAGTTCTGGATATCATAATATCAGAGGAAGAATTTACCCTAGAATTCATTCCTCTAGGGATGTGTACATTTAAATCGCTACAGAGGCACAACTGCAGCTGTTGCACTTCAGTGTAGGTAGTACACTGATGGGAGGGATTCTGCCAATGCCATAGGTAATGGACCTCCTTGTGTCAAAGGAAGAATTCTTATGATTATGCTGTCTACGCCAGGGGCTAGGTCATTATAGCTGCATCTCTCAGAGGTGTGGATTTTTCCTAGTTCCTAGTGTAGACCGGGCCCCATTCTCATGTCTTCCATTGACTGCCTGTAATAGCACTTTGCACTTATGTTAATTAGGCCTCATAGTACCCCTTTGAAATAGGTAAATATCCCATTTCCCCGCCACCAAAGTCATACAAGTCAGTGTCAAAACCAGGATTAGACTCTGAATGGAGCACAAGACTTGGTTCAGTTCTTCCTAGTGTTTTTGTAGTGATTCTAGTATCAACTGTAATAAAGAATACTGAGAGATAAGTGTCCTCCCACTGGAATCTGGGAGGTCCTATAATATTATGCTCCATTTTACATTCATTTTTATTTTAGATGTGGATCTGTCTGATATGGAGGTGAATCAACATTATGATTATAAATTTGTGAAATGGATGATAAAATCTAAGGTAAGATGTCTCTTATACCCAGTCACTCTGATATACATTAAAAATCAGGAAAATTTTTATACCTAAAATAAAAATATACCTGCACCTATAAAAGGATATAGCTCAGATATTTACATTTTAAAGCATGCCTAGAAGTTTTTCTGTGCATATCACCCTAACTGTGGGAATCTAGTGGCTAAAATCCTGCTGAACTATAACATCCTACTGAAAATGTAGCTTGTAGTCTTAGCGCAAAACAATAAAGACAAGTCCCAATAATTGCTGTTTTCCACACTTACATGTTTGCAGTAGGCAAGATCCTGCTACCAGTCTTGCCTAGAAAAAGTGGTTGAGTTTGGGTCAGACTTAGCTAGCACATGCCAAACCTAAACTTGATCACGCTTCCTAATCAAGATAAACCCATTGATTTCATTGGTGCAGAATTAGGTACTTATATTTGATATGTGAATTCTGAAAATTAAGTCAATTCAATTCTAATGAAGGAAGGGAAGGCTCCAAAATCTTGGCTGTACAATTTATCAAACCTAAAATTGACTTTATCTGTGTGTAATAGGCAAATCATTATGTTTCATCATTTCAGAAACTGTCAGCAATTCCTCTTACAGCATTCTGTGGCCCAGAGAGCAAAAAGCAGTTTGAGAAATATATACGTTTTTGCTTCATCAAAGTAAGTTTGTGTCCTGCTCTAGAAGACCGTTCTGATAGCAGTGTTGCTTATTACTAAAGTGTTTGTGCTGGTTTAATCTAAAGGAGTTGTTTTGTGTTGTTTTTTGCTGTTAAGCAGTTAGTTATTTGGTTGTTTTTATATTGACATTTTTAATAGCATTACTGAAAAGTTAGTTTTATTAAGAATGCAACAATAAACACATGGAAGAAAAAAAAATACAAAATACAGGCCCATGCTGATTTGAAGCAGGAATAGAAATGGCGAATGGTGAGGTTGCAGAAACACAAAGCAACCTGACTGCCTCTTTTCCCTGCCCAGTATGCACAGAGATAATTTCTAAGAAAATTCTAGGCAAATCAAGCTATAGACTACATGTGCAACTCACAGGGCTATAGCCAAGTCACAAAACTGTCCAGAATATGGAATACCCATGCTTGGAGCGGGCGAGGGGGGGAGAGAATTCATAGCACAGCTTCATTACATGGGTATTTAAAAACAAAAAACCCCACCTTTACACATAGGGTAGGTTAACTATGCTAGCATGACTTCAAATGTAGCCTGGACAAGACCACTACTGTAAATGCAGTAGATAGCAACACAAATGTAATGGGAGTGATTTCTACATACGTTTAATAGTATTGACACTAAGGAAAGCAAAGGAGTTGTTTGGAAATGATATTTTTAATGTACAAAATTTTATAATAATTACAAGAAATCTTAACTTTGAATTCCTTTCTTGGTGTACCCTCTAGATATATAGTTACAAAGTTTAGTGGCAAATTATTGAATCCTTTGGATATTTACAAGATACAATTGTAACTTTGTCAAAAAATACTAGTTTGTAGTGCTGTAAAAATGGCTGATACTCTATTTTGTAGAGCTCTGTACCTACAATAATTGTGGCATTCTATACTTGCAGCAAGACAGCACACTGGATGCAGCTGAGGTGATCCTGAAGAACTGGAATAAACCTACATCTTGATTTTTATATTTGTATTAGTTATTCCATCTGGTATAATTATTTTATACATAGGTATTTCATTATACCATTAAAAGCTAATGTACTCTAAATACAGTACATGATTCATATGGAATTGCAAATAACTCTCTGGGAGGCTACCTGCTGAGTAGCTAAAATAACAATTTATCCATTGCAAATAATGTGATCCAAGGAATTATTTTCAGTCTTTCCAAAGTATTGGCTATTTCACAAAATAATCACGGGAATCCACATTTTGGGGGTGGGAGATTTACTAGGGCACTGAAAAAATAAATACATCATATAACTGTGTTAGGGCTTAGGAGGAAGAAGTCAGAATTAGAAGAATAAGAGCTGTTCTGATGTAATGGTATAGAAGCCAGTTGGAAATAGCAGGATTTGAAGATGGAATGTTGTGTTTCACATATCATCCTAGCTTGATGTGAAGGGAAATTGAGAAATGCTTTGAAATGGTGCATGTTAGCTAGCTCCAGGGACTTAGTACCTAACAGCTTATGAACATACAAAACAAAATTGATTTAGTTAAACCAATGCAATTTTTGGTGAGTAGACAGTTCTAAATGTGTTTCATTACTGTTTTAATTTCCCACAATTACTTTCAAATTAAGTACTTTCAAAAATAGTAATCTTCAAAGTTCTAAAATAGCATGTGGTGTAAGAGTTTAAAAGTTTAGTTTGATTTATATATGCACACATAAAAATAAGAGACCTTGCTCTAGATGCTCCTTGACAATCCTTAAATATACAACACTGGAATAGATCACTCCTGTAATTCCTTTTCAACTCTTAATCAGCCTATCCTCAACCACCACCAGTAACTCCACAGCAAAACACATATTTAGAAACCTTAACTAAGATCTCTGGAAAACAGGAATGGGCCTTGCATTGTGCTATGAAGGTTAATAAACTTAGGTTATTTCAAGCTAAGGGGATGAGGGGAGTGAGTCCTAAAGAAGAGGCTGTTATGGAAAGTGCTCTACCAGCTGCCTCATCTTTGAATATCCTTGTGGCTCTGTGTGGTTTTACCAACCTCAAACTGGTTCCCAATTGAATAGAAGTAATCCAGAGCAGACTGCTTCTAGAGGATGATTCCTGTGCTCTTTTTTCCCATGACTTTCATCATTGTGGTCTTGCACTGCAGAGTTGGAACAAACTCAGAAAACAATTCTAGAAATATTCCCTTCCATGTTCTGGAATCTGGAGTCAGTGCTGGTTTTCTGAAGTCTTGAGAACAATTTAGGATATGTCTACTCTGCAATCAGAGGTATGATTGCAGCATGAGGCATATCCATGCTAGCTTTAATCTGGCTAGCACAGTTAAAAATAGAAGTGTAGAAACAGCACTGACTTCAGCACAGGTTAGCAACAGGAGTACAGGGTTCCTGGCAGATTTTTATAGCCTGTGCTGAAGCCTGTGTCACCACACCTTCACTGCTATTTTTATGTCAGTCCATGATGCAATTACACCTCCGACTGCCATGTAAGCATATCCTAAATCCAACCAATCTGTGGTCATGGGTTTAGTCCAACAGTGCCTTTATCCACAAGTAAACTGTACAGCCGTGGAGTGGGCTGGTAGCAACAGTCTGGCTTCTCTCTCCGTTCCTGATCTTGGTCCTGGGCTTTCAGCCAGAACATCCTCCATTGTCTCTTTAGTTACTTTGTACTGCTATCTCAAAAAAAAAACCAAAAACAACAAAAAAAAAACCCTCCACCAGAAACCCCTTATAACAGTGGAGATTGAGTAGAGTTAGATCAGGTCTCCATGCTGAAAAAATAATTTGGCGATGAAATTGGCTCCAGATGAGTTATGGAATACATCTCCGGGAAATTCTGAGTCTCCAGGGGCGTTATGGCAGTTTGACCTCTCCTTCCAAAAATCCCATAATCTCTGAGGTAACCCACACTACCTACTGAAATCTCCCAGTGTGAACTGTACCTGGGAGCTGTGCCAGGAACTGTGGGATATCTACCTAGAGCAGTGGTTCTCAACCTTTCCAAACTACTGTACCCCTTTCAGGAGTTTGAAGCCTGAGATCTGCTGCTCAGGGCTGAAGCATGTAACTTAGCTTCATAGGGCCCCCTGTCACATGGGACCCAGAGTAATTGCCCTGCTTGCCACCACCTAATGCTGGCCCTGCACTTGCAACTTCCCTGACCTAGAGGGCATTACAGTAGAATCTGTTGAGCAGAGTGCTAGTTTGGGTGCAGGACAAAACTGTTAGTGTTGTTAACATGCTTCAGCTTGTAACATGCTTGTACCTCAGTTGGTGCAAAACAATTGACTCAATTACAAACCATCTACACTAGAGAATATGGAATTAAGCACATAGGGAGAAGGCAGGTGGAGTAGAGAAAGGGGAAACAATACTGAGGCTTAGAGCTGCCATTTTTTCAAGCACTGTCAAGTCTCTTAAAATTTAACAAATCTGCTAATATAAATATAACAAATATATAGATTTCTGTGAGAAACTGGGTTCCTAGGGTATAGTATGAGTTAAATTTTACTAATCCCTTAGACTGATGATACAAAATAATACAACACTGGAATTTTGGCTTCTAACCTTAGAAACAAGAGTTCTAGTACCTTACACAATTCAATAGTTTATAATTGCCTATCAAAATGTAATAGTAAATAACCATAGTGCCATATCTGTATTTGAAGATAGCAGGTTTGGAGCATAACAAATGTAATACTGATTAGAGATGCCAATTATTTCTACAGCTTATGTTGAGATGTCCCCAAGATAGCTGTTTTTATGTCCACATATGAGCTTTCTGAGTAATTGGGATGAATGAGTGATTAGACATAGCCTCACAACAGGAATAAAACATGGCACAGATTGCTCCATGTGAATCTCAGTGCTTGTGAAAGGCCGACTCTCCAGAAAGTCATGGTTTAACATTATTACTATATTTGTATTACTGTAGCATCTAGGAGTCTTGGTCATGGATCAGGACCACAGCAATGTGCTAGGATGCATATAATCTGCTTATCTTTTCATTTAATCAAAAGTCTAAACACACAAGCGGTGGCGCATACATGAACTGGCATGTTGGAGTTGATTCAGCTGTCCCACCTCCTTACAATTTCCATAATATGCTCATTTGAGGTGTGTGACTGCTGCTAATGTTAGAGAATGAATGTAGGCTAATTTAACAACCCATTAAAAATGAGAAATTTACCAAATCTACTATTTTGTGTTTCATTAAGGCCAAACGCACAAAATAGTGTGTTCATGAAGACAGTAAGTATCCCATTGAATAATACTGTGAAAATGGTACCTGTAGTATCAGAAACATAATTGCCAGCGGTCCATCTAGTGCTGTCACTGACAGTAGCCTGTACTGGATGCTTCAGAGGATGTTCAGAGGCTAAAACTTTCAAAAGTGGCCACTGATTTTGGATGCACAACTTGAGACACCTTGCACCTGGTTCAACTTTTACTGTTCACTATAAGTAAAAATTAAACATGTGTATGTTTGCAGAATTGGGGCCATAGGTGCCTAAATCAGGCCTTTAAAATTCATATTTTGGTATCTAAACCAACGTGGCCTGACTTTCAAAGATGCTGAGGATCTGCAGATGCATGAGGAAAACTGTATTAAGGTCAGTGGTGCTTTTCTAAATTATGTCTTGAATTAGCAGTCTGTCTTGAATCCCAATGAGTGAGGATGCTGCAAAATCTTCTACCAATATTAATGGAGCGTAGTCCAACCAAACTCTGGATAGATGGTAAAGGGATGGGGCTACCGAAGTGGTCGTCTTGTCAAGTCGTCCTACTGCTTCCTGCTGTGTCCTGTGCACATGCGATTGCCCAATTATTACACTCTGCCAGGTCACTGGAAGAGCATTCACAGGCAAGAAGCTGGCATTGCAGGAGATCCTTCATATTTTGAAGCTGTCTGCCACAGGTAGGTACAGGGGTCAGTAATGTAGCCTCATTTAGTCACTGCGTCTCCAGACTGGCCAACTCCAGGGCAGAGTCTATTAAGGTAACGCCACATAGTTCAGGGCGGATGCGTGTTACCCGGGGTTCTCTCAACCCAAAGCTTGGGGGTAAATGAACTCTTTGCAACGCAAGTCAGGAACAAATCAAAGGGGGACACAGTGCATCCATCTGATTAAAGCGTGGCACAAACGCAAAATGCTTTCATCCAAACTTACTATTCCGTTAGATTTCAAGCACCCACATCTGAAAAAGGGTTAGAGCACCCCCAAGGAATAGTGACCCACAGTCTGCGGGGGTCTTCAGTGGTCGAACGATAGGGTGCAAATGGCCAGCGATCTGCCTGGTGCTGGGGATTCCAAGAGAGGTCCAGAAGGTCAGACCCCAATCCCCCAGCCCGCTCTACTCCTTTTATGTTAGTACCGGCTACAATTACTGCAACAACCTGTCAATCAAATAAAAACCATGAGGCAGGCACTTAAGCCGTTAGCCCCGCAGCTGTATTTCCACACGACAGCCCAACAACAGCCTCCAGAGGCGGGACAAAGTGAGTGTCAGACCCAGAGCCGGGCTGAGGGAGAGCGCGGGACGCCAGCCGGCGCCCCGCCCCTAATCATTGCCCCACAGGCGGGCACCGCCTCCAGAGGCTCAAGTTGAAGCAGCTGAACGCGAACCCTTTCGTTTTGTCCCTTCGCGCGGCCCGTACTGACGGCCTGGCAGAGCCCCGCCCCCAGTGGCGGAGGCTATATAAGGGAGTGCGCTGCGTGTTGCTCTTGACCCGGCCCTGTGCAGAGACAGCACAACCTGGGACGAGGAAGGAAGGAAGCAACGAACATGGCGTCTACCAGCCGGTGAGTGGCGCGAGCGGCGTCGTGGTCGTAGTAATAGTGGTGGTGGTGGTGGGTGGTAATAGAGTGTCTGAGTGGAGCCCGGGAGCGGGCGTGTGCGGTGATTCCGGACTATCTGCCGGGGAGAGAAAATGGCCGCGTCTTCCCCCACGTTCAGCTCCTGGGACAGCAACGCTGATGGGTCCCCCCGCCCCCACCTGCTATCTCGGGGCTTGGTTCCTGCTCGTCAGTCCCGCTCCCTTCCCCCGCCTCGGACCCCTTCGCTTCTCCCCCACCCGGCCCCCTTTTCCCCTCCCTGTCCCTGCGGGGGGAAGAGGGGCTCGGCCTCCGCCAACCACCCCCTTCCTCCCTTGTGCGGGGGGGGCGCTTTGATTTTCCTCTCGCTTTAGTGCCCCATCTCCGTTCCCTGGCCCATTCCCGGCGGTCCTTCCATATCTGGTTTCTGCTTCTCTCTTTCTCTCCCCCCCCCCACGCCCCCCCTTTCCCTGACTTCTTGTGGCAGCGATGAGAGTTTGTCCAGAAAGGCTCATGGTCTGGTCACCTGTGAGTGATTTGCAGCTTGGCCAGAGTGACTGGTTCTGCCTGAACTCTAGTTTCAAACGTTTTTGTAAAGCCCGGAGTCCGTAAGTAATGGGGTGACATGTAGGCTAGTGACGGGATCTGCTGCTGCTGACAACTCGTAAATATTGAAATAGGAAGTCTGCGATCTCCAGCACGGGGTTCTCAAGCTTCATTGCACCGTGGCCACCTTCTGACAACAAAAATTACTATATGACCACAGGAGTGGGTAGTAACCGAGCCTGCTGTGTCCCGCAACCCCAGGTGGGAGGGCCAAATCCTGAACCCTGCTGGGGGCAAAAATCAAAGCCCAATCTGCCCCGCCCCCTTCAGGTTTTCAGAGGAGAGGAAGGTGTATGTGAGGGTCTCTGCTGGGCATGGTGGTGTTGGCACTGACCTGCAGGTTGGGTAGCCTGCAAAGGTGAGTCAAGGGTGGAGGTGGTGCTCCCTTCCTGAGCCCTGCTGCTCTGCCCTCCCCACCCCCACCTGTTCTTCTGGGTGCACCTACCCCATTTTGAAAACCTCTGCTTTATAGTACTTTTTAAAAAGTTTAATTTACATCCTTGATGGTTTGAATTAAGATGCATTCTGGTCCGAAACCAAGGCCTGCTAGAAACTGGATAGTCTGTTACCCCTTCTTGCTGTATAAAACTCTTGTGCAGGTTAAATCAGGCCTTTACACATCTTGTATTTTAATGTAAATGGAAGAGTTGCCACAGTATGTCTGGATGCTTATTCTGTTTCTTCTGAATTTTCCCAGTAAAAAGCTCCTTTCAGACTTTTCAGGATTTACTATAGAAAGATGTTTACAGCCCCCTTCAGTTTCGTTTCCTTCTTTTTTGGGGGGAAAAAAGAGTATTTCTTCACATAGTGCCTAGGGGAACTCATTGCCAGGGGATATTGTGAAGGCCAAAAGTATAACTGAGTTCAAAAAAGAATTAGAATAATTCAGAATAATTTAATGGAGGATAGATCCATTAATGGCTATTAGGCAAGAAGGTAACCCCACCTGGGTATCCCTGAATCTCCAACTGCCAGAAGCTGGGCCTGGACAACAGGATGGATCACTTGCTAATTTTCCTCTTCTATTCATTCCCTCTGAAGTATCTATCCACTGTCTTGAAGACGGGATACTGGGCTAAATGGACCATTAGTCTGACCCAGTATGGCTGTTCTTACGTTAAAAGTTCTTCCATTCCACACCCCATAAAATTCATTGTTAGGTAACATTCCATCATCCCCAATTTTCCTTGTTGTCATGATCATGTGGTATAGGTAGGCCCCTGTTTTGGCCCAGATTAGCAGCACTGAAAACTGTATCTAATTACTCTTTGGGTTCCTGTCACAATTTTCCCTTTTTGACATTTATCAGCAGACGTTAGTGATTGAATGGACCTAGTGCCTGAGCTATCCTTTATGGGTGAACAATGTTCTTTCAAATTAGGTACTGTGATGGGACTGCAGAGTGAATCTACTTCCCCCTTCTGTATCTGCTCTGAATTTAGTGAACATTTTCCAGTGTTATCACAACTTCTAGCAGCAGTGAAATAAATGCCATGCTTTAATAAATGGCCATGAATTTTATTGAAATATTGCAGTGTACAGGACGTATAAACTTCAGGGGGAATAATTTATATGCCCAGAGAAAAGGGCAGATTTTACACTGACATGCTGCTGATAAAAGATATTGTCAGAGACCGCTGTTCTGCTTTGTGGATCTGGATTCAGTTTACTTTTTATTTAATGTGCAGTCAGCCTTGTGAATATGGGATGCCTATTTAAATGCTCCACATGGCAGAGAGTTGTTGCTTACGGACCAGCACCTCTTTTGTGAGTTCTCTGAAACTGTTCCTTCATAGCTCGTTTTTTTGTTTTGTATTAAAAATGTGATGCAGCTGGAATCTGTTGAATGTCTTAAATAAAATTTACTTATTTTAGTTCTTGCTTCTTTAGTATGTGCTTCTGTGAATCGCTGCTGCTTTATTATCTTACTAAAATTATTTAATGTAAAGATTTCCCGACTAGCAAGTTATGGTTTAATTTTAATTTCTTTATATTTTAATCTGGTTAAAACTGTTTTTTTTTAATTTATTGATCAAGTTGATGAGTTGTTTTCTAAAACGGTAAAGAATGCACTGCTCACTAAAGGAATAGCCTAATTGGATTAAAAAAAATGTCTAGCCAAATGCAGGAGTGGATATTTAGAATGACATGGTCACCACTAACTTCTGGTAGGCATTTATTTAGCAGGAATGGATTTTCCGGTAGACTAGTAATTTAACTTTTTTTTTTTTTAATTAGAGCACTTTATTCAAAGGAGGTAGCCTTTTGGATTTTAGATGGCAAGATGTTTCAGAGTTCTAATTTCCATAAATCCTAGGTTACCAAATTGTTGTTCTCTGCCCTAAATTACTCAGCTCATTTGTGCTGTATGCTAAAAATAGCATTAAGGGCATGTGGCTTGAAGTTTTCTTCCATATTGTAGTTTAAATTGCTTTCCTCTAACTTGAAATCTTTTTCTGGAAATAAACTTCGTTTAAAATATTTTGAATGCTGTATTCAATCTTTTTCTTTTAGTTTGGATGTGCTTCCCAGAGTGACATGTCCAAACCATCCAGATTCCATTTTAGTGGAAGATTACAGAGCTGGAGACATGATCTGTCCTGAATGTGGACTAGTAGTGGGTAAGTAGTTATTCAAGTTGTTGTGACTCAGTTGATCTCCATTTTGAGAGTATCTGAAGAAGTAATTTGTTTTTTCTCATGGTTGATGTGTGAGAAATTAGCACTGAATAGATATTTTTCCTTTTCTAAAAAGAATCTACCATTTTGAAGAGGCAGTGTTCTTGTAATGGCTGGCACTTTTAAACAAATGAGCTGTATAAAGTTCCATAGTTTTGTAGCAGATACCCACATTGTGGAGAATATAATCGACCACTGCTGCTTGATGGAAGTCAAGCTGATAGCCTTTAAACCACCGACTTTCCAAATTCAGGGGGAAAATGGGGTTCTTGGGCTACAAATAGCCATTTTAAATAACTCAATTTTGTGAGAAACATGAAATGTCTCAAATATATATATTGGAAAAGGGTTGATCTTTGCAGTGTTAGAGGCATCTGTTTCATTTAAAGCTGGGATGCTTCATATAACATGGACAAATGTCAAGATTTTACTGTATTACAATTCATGGCCGTTACAATGGTGACACATGTAAATTGGGATACATATTTAAACATGATATAAAATTAAGCATGGAAACTCGGATTTCAAATGTGATTACCAGCTAGTTAGAAGATCTAACAAAAGGGATTCGATTAATGTATTGTTTTCAAAATACTTTGAAAATGTTGGTACAAAGGAATGCAGTAATTGCTATGTTGAATCAGACCAGTGTGTCATCTAGTTCAGTCTCATGTCTCCGGTAGTGACCAGTACCACTTTTTTTTCAAAGGAAAGGGCAAGAAACCCTGAAGGTAGTTACGGAATAACCCGCTCATAAGAAGTTTCTTGCTGATCCCCATTTAGGTTGGCTTCTGCCCTGAAAGAGGCTTTATATCCCTTCCAAAACTTAGTAAACTTTTAAATCCTCCGTGTTCTAACTTTGGTTATTCTTATCCAAACAAATGCCCACTCCTTTGTAATCCTGTGAAGTGCTTTGCCTCAGTGGTATTTTGTGACAGTAATTTCCACAGGCTAACATTTTATGATGTATGGAAAAAGTAGGGATGTCCCAGACAATTGGAAAAAGGCAAATACAGTGCCCATATTTAAAAAAGAGAAGAAAGACAGACCAGTCAACCTCACTTCAGTCCCTGGCAAAATCATGGTGCCAGATCCTCAAGGAATCCTTTTTGAAGGACTTGGAGAGGAAGGAAGGAACAGTCAACATGAATTCACCAAGGGCAAGTCATGCCTGACCAACCTGATTGCCTTCTATGATGAGATAACTGGCTCTGTGGATATGGGGAAAGCGGTGGAAGTGATGTATCTTGACTTTAGCAAAGCTTTTGATACGGTCTCCCACAGTATTCTTGCCAGCAAGTTAAAGAAGTGTGGATTGGAAGAATGGACTATAAGGTGCATAGAAAGCTGGTTAGATTGTCGGGATCAATGGATAGTGATCAACAGCTCGATGTCTAACACTGGTCTACAATTTTTGAGAAGTCGTCTGCTTCAGAGATAAAATGTGCTATTTATTATGTATTTTGATGTGCTGAATTCAAATATGACAATTAAAACAACTGGCTACTGTTTCTAAGATATTTAAGTTTTTACATTTTATGTCTATGTATATTGTGTAGCTAGTAGAGTTTTAATCATAAATTGTAAACCTAGGTCTTTTCATGTGTTTATGGTTGCTTTACATGATATTTCACCTGTCCTGTTTATGTAACACTTTAAAAATCAGCAAAAGGGTTATATAAATAAAATTTATTATGAAACAAAAGGCAAACTATTCTGTACATAGTATAGTCCTATTCAGTGTCTACTGAAATGGAGCATCTCTTGTCACTGTCCAGCAATAGTCTGCAAGCATTGATGGGCTCCATTTGCCCTGATAGCGTTTCTCCATTGTTGCAATGTCCTGGTGAAATCGCTCGCTGTGCTTGTCGCTCACTGCTCCGCAGTTCGGTGGGAAAAAATCTAGATGAGAGTGCAAAAAATGTATCTTTAGTGACATGTTGCAACCAAGGCTTTTGTATGCCTTGAGGAGGTTTTCCACCAACAACCTGTAGTAGTCTGCCTTGTTGTTTCCGAGGAAATTTATTGCCATAAACTGGAAGGCTTTCCATGCCGTCTTTTCTTTGCCACGCAGTGCATGGTCAAATGCATCATCTCAAAGAAGTTAACGAATCTGAGGACCAACAAAGACACCTTCCTTTATCTTAGCTTCACTTAACCTTGGAAATTTTCCACGGAGGTACTTGAAAGCTGCTTGTGTTTTGTCAATGGCCTTGACAAAGTTCATCATCAGACCCAGCTTGATGTGTAAGGGTGGTAACAAAATCTTCCTTGATTCAACAAGTGGTGGATGCTGAACACTTTTCCTCCCAGGCTCCAATGACTGTCGGAGTGGCCAATCTTTCTTGATGTAGTGGGAATCTCTTGCACGACTATCCCATTCGCAGAGAAAACAGCAGTACTTTGTGTATCCAGTCTGCAGACCAAGCAAGAGAGCAACAACCTTCAAATCGCCACAAAGCTGCCACTGATGTTGGTCATAGTTTATGCACCTCAAAAGTTGTTTCATGTTGTCATAGGTTTCCTTCATATGGACTGCAAGACCAACTGGAATTGATGGCAAAACATTGTCATTATGCAGTAAAACAGCTTTGAGACTCGTCTTCGATGTATCAATGAACAGTCTCCACTCATCTGGATCGTGAACGATGTTGAGGGCTGCCATCACACCATCGATGTTGTTGCAGGCTACAAGATCACCTTCCATGAAGAAGAATGGGACAAGATCCTTTTGACGGTCACGGAACATGGAAACCCTAACATCACCTGCCAGGAGATTCCACTGCTGTAGTCTGGAGCCCAACAACTCTGCCTTACTCTTGGGTAGTTCCAAATCCCTGACAAGGTCATTCAGTTCACCTTGTGTTATGAGGTGTGGTTCAGAGGAGGAGGATGGGAGAAAATGTGGGTCCTGTGACATTGATGGTTCAGGACCAGAAGTTTCATCCTCTTCCTCTTCCTCGTCTGACTCAAGTGGGAATGATTCTGGTGCATCAGGAACCGGCAGTCCTTCTCAGTGGGGTACTGGGTGTATAGCTGATGGAATGTTTGGATAATGCACAGTCCACTTTTTCTTTGACACACCTTTCCCAACTGGAGGCACCATGCAGAAGTAACAATTGCTGGTATGATCTGTTGGCTCTCTCCAAATCATTGGCACTGCAAAAGGCATAGATTTCCTTTTCCTGTTCAACCACTGGCGAAGGTTTGTTGCACAAGTGTTGCAGCATATGTGTGGGGCCCACCTCTTGTCCTGATCTCCAATTTTGCAGCCAAAATAAAGGTGATAGGCTTTCTTAACCATAGTGGTTATACTGCGCTTTTGTGATGCAAAAGTCACTTCACCACAAACATAGAAGAAGGTATCTGCACTGTTCACGCAAGTACGAGGCATCTCTGCTCACTTTGGCTAAACAGAAATGTGTCCCTTTGCAAAATCAAACACTGACAAATAAGAGCACGACACTGTATGATTTCTAGAGCTGATATAGGGCAATTTGTTCAGCAGAGTGATGTAAGCTTCGTTATGATTGCATCATCCATGACTTCTAGGCATAACATGATGCAATTCATATCATGTATGACGCAATACCAGCTTCAGATTGCATCATTCATTGTTTTGCCTAAAAAGCAAGTACTGTCCAAACCCAGTCACAGATTTATTCATAGATCCAGTCAAAGATGTATTTTAGTCATTTCTGGTTTAAATTGAGATCCCTTCCCTTTATAACTCACGTATCCTCCGCCATTCCCAAGTCAAGGCTCGTATATACTGACCCAATAGCATATCTTGAAAACTAGAGCCAATCAACAATTTTAAGCATCATTTTCGTTCTCAGTGACCCAGAATTAGTAAAGTTTGACTACATTTATTTCAGAAACATTTTGGCTGTAGAGCAGTGTAATTAGCAGCCAGTATCAAGCGGAGTGCCCCAGGGGTCGGTCCTGGGGCTGGTTTTGTTCAACATCTTTATTAATGATCTGGATGATGGGATTAATTGCACCCTCAGCAAGTTCGTAGATGACACTAAACTGGGGGGAGAGGTAGATACGATGGAGGGTAGGGATAGGATCCAGAGTGACCTAGACAAATTGGAGGATTGGGCCAAAAGAAATCTGAGGTTCAACAAGGACAAGTGCAGAGTTCTGCACTTAGGAAGGAAGAATCCCATGCACCTCTACAGGCTGGGGACCAACTGGCTAAGCAGCAGTTCTGCAGAGAAGGACCGGGGGATTACAGTGGACGAGAAGCTGGATGAGAGTCATCAGTGTGCCCTTGTTGCCAAGAAGGCCAATGGCATATTGGCCTGTATTAATAGGTGCATTGCCAGCAGATCGAGGGAAGTGATTATTCCCCTCTATTCGGCACTGGTGAGGCTACACCTGGAGTATTGCTTCTAGTTTTGGTCTCTTCACTACAGAAGGGATGTGGACAAATTGGAGAGAGTCCAGCGGAGGGCAATAAAAATGATTAGGGGGCTGGGGCACATGACTTATGAGGAGAGGATGAGGGAACTGCGGTTATCTAGTCTGCAGAAGAGAAAAGTGAGGGGGGGGGGAGGATTCGATAGCCTTCAATTACCTGAAGTGGGGGGGGGTTCCAAAGAGGATGGAGCTAGGCTCTTAGTGGTGGCAGATGACAGAACAAGAATCAGTGGTCTCAAGTTGCAGTGGGGGAGAGGTCTAGGTTGGATATTAGGAAACACGATTTCACTAGGAGGGTGGTGAAGCACTGGAGTGGGTTACCTAGGGAGTTGGTGGAATCTCTATCCTTAAAGGTTTTTAAGCCCCAGCTTGACACAGCCTTGGTGTTGGTCCTGCTTTGAGCAGGGGATTGGACTAGATGACCTCCTGAGGTCTCTTCTAATCCTAATATTCTATCAGTTTTAAATGTCATCAGTCACTTTCACTGAATTTGTGTGTGAACAGAAATGTTCTGTATA